CCACATAACAGGGACAAGAGGCTTACACAGAAGCACCGACGATTGCATACGTAGCATAAAAAAGAAATGCACACGTTCTTCCGATCTGGCGGCGGAATAAACGGAGCCAGCAACAGACAGACCACGATGCGCAAACCACACCGTGCAGGAAGCCAGGCTTTGAAACGGGCGATGTCGTATGGGCTCGCGATATCGCACCAGAAGCAAACCCCGTTACTGCCAGGGCAAAGATCTGTCCGGGATACCCTCTACGTCGAGGATAAAGTTGTACACGTCGCCTTGGGGTGGGACGGCGATTACCAGCAATGAGGGCACGTAGTGACAAATCAGTCCTCCAAGAGGCGTATGGAAGGGCCCCGGCCGAGGAGAGAACACGAGAGACCAAGGAAGAAAGCCTTGACGGGCGATTTCTTGATTCACTGAGCCCGCTCTAATCAATACCGAGACTTGGATAAGAGACAGAGTAGACATACCAGCGCAAAGTCACCACCCTGGACGTTGCTCGCCGCCGAGATGGCAATCGCAAGAAGGAGCGTGCGTCCGACATGATCACCGAAAAGTCGCCAGCAGCGCAGCTACCAGTTCACCACTACTTTTGATCTCGTCCAGCGGCACGACCAGGAAATATGAGACATTGGCCAGCAGGTAAAGACCCCCGCTGTGAATAGCGCGGTTGACCGACGGATTTCAGCGTCCGCACGGGGTCATGCACCGGTGAGACATTGCTAAGACGTTGTTGAGCCCCGCGTATGAATAAAAGCACCCTGGAACAGGTCGATAGCAGACTCCAGCCCCAGTTGGATCCCTCCCCACAGCCCATCCCATGCTAGTGCGGACTGGTGGGAATTCTGGTGACACTCCAAGAGAGTTTTCACTGGATGGCCGGAAAAGCAATCACCCAGAGGCCTGTCAGCGATATGGCCGCGATCAGAAGATCTTGATCCATCCCAGCAGATTCTGCACCCAGATGCCTGGTTCTTTTGGGAAACATCCATGTACGAAGGTAATAACCGAGCAGACCGACCGCCAAAATCTTGTGCTGCACTTCTGTGGGTTCAACATCGAAGGCAAACAGCGTGTATTAGCGAAAATGATGGGTGCTGCCTCGCCGTAAACCCTAATACGACAGCCTGCACGGCAATCAGGTGGAGGCGAGAATCGGGGACGAGGATAGGCATATTCCAGATGGCCACCTGGGAGTTCAGCCCCTTTAACTCTACTATCCCAGCGATTATTTCATACCTTGTCGCCACCAGATCGAGGCAGCATGCATCCGCACTCCATCGACACGGCCAGTCCACAGGCGGCTAGAACGGTACCTTACGATCCAGACTAGCAATGCCAGTCCTACACTGCCGACGGACTGATACAATGGAGCCTGATGTAAAACACCGCTACCGATGACACGCGAGACAACGAGAATATAGGCACTGGACCGGGGGATTTCCCTTCGGAACAGTGCCTGGTAGGGTGTCGCTGTTGAGGTCTACATCGAGATGAGATGGAGATATGAACCCCGAAGGGTAATAATCATATTGGATGGACGCTGTCGAGCAGTGGCTGTCGTTCTGTATCCCCATTGTGAGTGTGGAAATGGAACCACCTTATATTGCAGGAGAACAGGTTCATATCGATAAGAATTAACAATTAAGCATTACCAAGCAATCGAGATTCTTGTCAGATGGATGGTGGATAGCTCTAGGGATGTAGCACGTCATTCCAGGTAAAAAGTTATGCATCCGATCAGTTGCCCATTCTTGGTATGCCATCGTTGATGACTTGATATACTCATAGGTCAGATCAATCTGTATGCACACAAGGGATTGGTTCATAATCCAACACGCCTTGATAATGAATACTTCCAGACGTACACAGACCATACTCCATTCCACGAATCAAGCGATACCCCGGACACAAGGCTCCGATTACCCCTTCATCACGCCATCTCAACCCCCGCCATATTCCAATGCCTCCACAAATGCAAATTCATTTTGGGTAAAATACAGATCCTGCTGACTCCGTGAATGACGATTGGTAATGCTCTCGAGCCAGTGGAGAGGTATGGCGATGGACGGACTGAAATAGCCGACATCCCAACCGTAGCAACCCTACTTTCCATCTCTAGAATAAGATTCCAGACCATCATGACCACAGTATCCATTATGAGTACAGCGACATCAACAAGAAACCCTCCGTTGTCCACGAGGTGATTATCTGCAACGAGCCAACAGTTACATCACGGCATATCAAATCAGAAGGAATCGATTCCCGAGCAGCACCCGAGAGCACCGCACCAAGGCTGCTCGCGAGCAATAATAATTCCCCGGTAATGGACATGCTATTCCCTCGACGCAAGCAAAGATGAGATTTCATCAAGATTCTGAGAAACGGTCTGAATCCGATCGACCGGGAAACCGTGCACATTCACAGAATGCATATGAAACCCGTGGCGCACATCCCTTAGGGCTCTTTCACCTTTGGCATTCCCAGTCTCCCCCACCAATGGACGATCTGGGGTAGTCGTGCAGACGAATCGGCGTGTCCGAAGGAGATCTGGTCGAAGGTGCCGTCAACCGACCATCGCGATATCCGTAAGGCCGCTTTCCAAGAATACGCCGCAGCCACGCATTTCAATGCGGTGCGAATCCCATCTACAGGATGCGTGCACGCGTCGGCCGCGCTGGGTGGCATTTGCGGCCTCTTGGCGGCGTTGCGTCATTATTGGGACTCAGTCTGTCGCGGTCGAGCTGTCCTGGTCCGGATCTTCATCGAGGTGGTGAAGAACCTCGCGGTAGATCAGGATCCCGGTTGATATTCGAGATCAATGCTTTGCATCCGGCGGAGATTGAAATCGACCACGGAAGGAGACTGGATCGCCATCTGGGGGTATGTTCTTTCCGTATAGACAGTACGAATGTGACCTTTGCATCAGCATCCACCACCACCGGGTCCATCATGCCGCACCGGCACGACAACAGGCAGGTCTACGCGTCATATGCGTAGCTGATAGCCCGCCACGCGCGGCGGCCTGTCGAATGGGTGCAGACGCCCCCGTTCGCTGGATTCGTCGCGCCATCGAGATTATCCGCGGTATCACTGGGAAAGCTACGCTACGCATCGACATCGTAAGCGAAACCGCCACGGTTCTACAGGGAGCCTGATACAATTTAGAGCAAGAAGATGGATCGCATGCGCACCTCTTGGGGCTGATTTGTCATGAGAGAGCAGCCAACGTCTGTCATCATACGGTACCGATAAAGCTGTTCCATACGTCGCCTGTGGTGGGAGAAGCGATCGTCTCCTGGTTAGAGGTTGCTACAGTCGAAGGCCTTTGAGTTACCGCCGATTGTCCGAGTCGATGGAGGGCTTGCCGGGCATTTTCAATGACCCGTTGGAGATTCTGCGACAGGGTGCGGTGTGTCGGGGAAACGCATCGTGGTGGATATGGCCAAAACCTAGTACGTATATACAGACGATAGACAATGATTTCAATGAAATAATTTTAACCATGTAACCCAGAAAAGAGTAAAAATACTTGACTGAAAGTAGTTGGAGTACCCCAACTGACACCATTGAGGGTGGCTCTGCATCGTGATATCATGCCCCTCATCGAGCATCTCAGTGAGGGGCAGAGAGTCATATTAGACAGTGAATTCCATTTCGGATTCATTATTCCAAAGCTCTTAATATCTATTCCCAAAAATCCATCGTCATGGCTAAGAAACAATTAATTCTAATGCCTTTGTTATGCAATTCCCTCGCACTCAACCTGGGCTGCAATTCATCCCACCGGATCTGGCGCTACGCCTATAAGTCGCTAGAACTGGATTGAACTGGCACAGAAACCTTTGAGGGCGGCCACCACGCTATCTTTCGCCGACGGTGCTAGGCGCGGCTACGACTACAAAGGCCCGGCCAACCCAGAGCCCACCATCCCGCCGGAGCCCAATTTCCCATCAACGACCCTCTGTACAGCATCCCCGCCATGGCTGCCGCCACGGTAGAGCATGATTCGGCGTGACGGCGTCCATGACCTACGACGCGCCGTATGCGCTGGCCTGGCGATTCTCTACCCGTTGACCATCTAAGCAACGGCCGCGTGGGAACATTACATTGTCACTGCGTATCGATTCTGCGGCGCGAACCGGCGGCCCTTCAACACGCAAGTGGAGCATGACGAGCGATATCGCATCGCAGACGAGCACCTGACGTGACGTACAAACTCTGGGAAGGGTCATGGCGCGACGGTGCCGTGAACAACCGCGACGGAGGCTGGCATGCTGACCCTGCTGCTGTGCGACAGATCCATCACCGGGGAAAGTATTTCACCGCGCCCGGGGTCCCCATCCTCTCGCGAACTGAGTCCGCAGCGCACGCCGCCCTGCTGCGGCGCGCGGGCACCCGGACAGCGGAAGTCGTTCGCCGCGAAACACGCGGAGGCGACACCTTGAAATGGACAGAAGCCTGAGCTTGTACGGCCATCAGTGGACAGTACGACAGCAGGCAAGGAGTTCGGGCGCGACCCGACATCCATCAAGGTGGTGGCGGGTCTGGGTAATCGTGGCCGAGACGGACGAAGCAGCATTACGCCAAGTTCGCCGAGCTGGTCAAATACGGTGATAAGGAAGGGCACTGGCATTGTTCGAGAGGATGGTCAGGATGACATCTCCAAATGGGCAGATGATCAGGACTTCCGGTTCGTGGAGCAACCAGCGGTGCGTGCATGGTCAATCACTGGGCCAGCACGGTTCCAGGCACGAGGGCAAGAAATGGACGCAAGAACTTAATGCCGAGCATCCCTTGCCCTGGCGGCAATGAGCCAAGGTCATCGGTGAGTGCGAAGACTCGGTGGCGGGACGAGCCAGAGCGGTGGGTGGAAGTGGGAGACGTGATGGCTTCAACCCTCAAGCCATGCCCGGTGCCAGATAATTTCTTTGACGATATCATCCATCTGATTCCGGAGCTGCAGCCGGGCCATTTTCATAAAGATTATGCCGTACCTGGGGCACTTTCCGTGAGAACAATACGAGGCCCAGGGACACACGAGACCGCCAGAATCGTATCCAGGGCGCAGTATTTCTGGCGGCGGTGAGGAGACGCCAGAATATGCCCGGACAGTATAAACTGTATGCATTTATGGGAGATATAACATTGTAGAATTCATGAAGCCGTAGCTATGGACTTAGTAATTTGGCAAAAGATGAGTACATCTGTATGAGATTTAATTCTTCTACCAAAGGCCCTTTGTCACGAGCCCCAATCATTTCGAAGCCAGTTGAAAATTCATCAAAAGGATGATACCTATATTATTCACAGTCTAGCCTTACCCGAGTTCTCACCCATTACAGCCTGTAAAAAAGAAAAAGCAAGCTACAAGGAACCGGAATCTGACAGAAACTAATTACCGTATTGATAAACAGTAGTTACCATATCATTTCGCGCAGAGGCAGGACCAGCAGCAAGGGCGAAGGAAGATGATGTTTAAGGAGAGTGCTTTCTTCATCTGGTTGTTGTTTAAGGCGATACAAATGACTAGCCTCTGTATCTATTATCCATCGCTACTTTATCCTTTCTATAAATAAAATATACAAGGTGTTCAGGATATCTCTGGAGTGTATTAATGATATAGTTCCTATATCAATATATCTAATCATCTAGTTATTCCTCACACATCCCACCACCCCTCCATATATGACCGCAGATCGATTTCTCCGGCCGCAGCATAATGCGGCGTCAAGTCCGCATTTTAGATCGTCTCGCTGCGTCGTCCATCCATTGCCAAAGTACGCAAACCGGGATTGCCGCTAGTTGGTGTAGGTGTACTCCAGTCCTCCCATCGGGGATCCCGGACGCAGATAGCCGAGATGCGCCGCGCTACCGGGGAACAACCCGTGGATGCGTCCCCTCGACGACTCCGTTGTACCATGACCGGCAGTTCTTCTGGCCCGGCAAGTTATCGTTCCCGTCCACACGGTCCGGGGTAGAATCGATCGCAGTACCTGATAAAGTCATCAGCGGCCTGTTTGGAGGGCGCCAACGACTGATGCCTTGGCTGCGAATCTTGGTGCAATATCTTGGTAATATACGCGACCTGGTTCCCGAGACTATTGGGCACGCTGCCACCGGCCGGTGGAATGTGGTCCTCCGGATCCATAGCAGATTAGGGGAATCCCGCGGCCACCCCAAGATAGTTGTAGGGGAATCCCCAAAAGGCCATCGTGTTTCCAGGCTGTCTTTGAGGTCGATGCTGCCGGGCAATGATGGAAAAAGGGCGGCGCATGGTCAACATTGGCCCCTCGGCGCAGAGATGACCACGTCAACAGGCCGCTCCTGGCCATCGACCGTCACAATTCCTGTGGACGTGAACCGCTGGATAGGCGTCTGATATAGCTGACGTTGGGGCTTGGTCAGCGCCTCGAGATACCCCGGTCCAGGCGTGGGACGACGACAGCTGGCGGGAAATCGGGGATGATCAAGTCACCCAATCGGGTTTGTCGATGACGCGTCCCAGCATCAACTGCGTCCACTTCGCGCTGTTCGGAGGTTTTCCGGTGAGTTTTGAAAAATGGCCCCAAAGCGGGAAAAGTATCCTTGTTCGATAGGATTTTGCATTGCTGGTATCGCTCGGAGTCCCAAAGGTTTCGCGTTCAGAGGACAATGTTTGCCTGAGCCGACGCACGCCGGTGGAAGCAATGAATCGGCGACCCAGGCGGTTGCGGTGAGCGCAGGTGGTCAAACGTGGTGAGCCAGTGGCTGGATAGAGGCAGCACTTTGCAGTCCTGAGGCACCGTTGCGCCGATCAGCGCGATGCGTTCCGTAGTTCCAATGTCAGCTGCTGTAGTGGACGAGTGGAAGAGCTTCCCCTTGGTATTGGTTTATACCTTCATAGTTGGGCAATTGCCAGTCGTTAAAGTGACTGATAGCATTGATGAGTACCATCGCATTCTTTGATATGTCTAGATACGTCAGTTCGTTCGATAATGAACAAGAGGTCCGGTAACCTTGTTGTTCTTCAAATCCTGTATAGTGACACGCCATTTAGCAAGTTGGGGAATCCACCCGCCCCCTCAACCTTCTGCTGCAGCCGTAGATGTCGATAGACGTCGTAATTTGCGCCCACGCCCCGCCAGTATTCGCGCGGATTTCTGCGCCCCAAGTACCCTCTGTCCATTGTGTGTTGGGCGCAAATCCAGATTGGTAGACATGAGTTGGATATCGCATCGAACACCCTGGATGCTGTGTTCTCGAACCTGTTCTTGTCAGCGATAGAGAGCGATCTGAGAGATGTCCTACCAGGTGCCTCCTTACGTGTCACCGTGAGTATGGGTCACTGACCATTCCCAAGCGAGGGAACATAACGCACTACGTCTGCATTCTTGTCATAGATCTTCAAATCCAGACCCGGTAACTTGGCAGGAAGGAGAAAGCACGCCCGCTGTGATGCCCGTTAGCCCAGCGCCGATCACACTAACTTTTTTACGGGTCGAACCTGGTCAATCGGATGCTCTTCAAATCTCAAATGCGGTTTACTTCCTCGGGACTTCATTCACAGGGACCGCACCACAGCCGAAGGACTGTATGCATCTCGGGTTAAGAATGGAAGCGTTGTGGCTGCAACAAGAGGTCCTTTGACGGCCATGGTGATCTTTAGTCGATGTATGCTACCGAGCCTGACGATAACTTGCCATATAAATATCATATAAGCTTTCCGCAACGACGAAAGGGCGCCTCTACTTACCAATGGGGATTATAGCGTCGAAGGACGTCTCTACACGCCATCCATTGCGTATCTGAGGTCCCTCGGAGCCTCGAATCGGGTTTCTGCCCCTGCACCGCCCGATAGCGTCACACTCATAGGGACTGCAATTTGTCACGTAGACTTTTGCAATTTGCAGCATTTTATTTGTGAGTACTATTCTACGCCCCATCTCGTTCCAATTGACCCTGTCGATATCTGCGTCTCCATGGAGTATGCGAGAGATCGGAGTCTCCAATTCATGTTGTCATCCTTGTATAGTTAGCACGATTGGCTATTCCCTTTCCATCTACGTCTATTTTTCACAACTTATGCAAGGGACAGTGATTGTGTTACGCTGATCTATCTCTATCTGCATCGAATTTTTTCCACATCCCATCAATCATCTCGTGTCGCTTCAGCGCCCAGTCAAATATAGGATACCACCATTCTTGCGATATGCTTCTGTACAAGGGGCACATTCCTGCAAAAAGCAGGCAAAATTCCACTCATCCGACACCGGTACGACCTTCTCAATCTTCCCCGTCTCATTACAGTAGACTCCAGCTTAGTCCCCGACAGTTCTAGGGTCTAAAAGGTACATACTTGGCAGAGGGTCATCGAGGTTCGGAACCGGAAGAAGGTTCTTGGCCCGGTTTCAGACCTTAGGGAAGTTAAACTCCAGGACTCCCTACTAAGCTACGTCCAGTACATCCATATTCAAAGGAGTGTTCCACTACGAAATCTACGCCAGCTGTCTGTTGGTTTAGGGAGGCTTGAAACCGGATCGATCAAAAATGAGATTTCAAACATTCAGGGGTTATTCTGGTGTGTCATATCTGGTAGCAACGACGAATGATGCGTATTTCCTGACGTGGTAATGCAGCGGAAGTGGGTTATACTTGGGCATTCATAGAATTTCTCATTCCAGACATATGTCAGCATCGAATTTATCACCTATAGAGTAATTTCAATAATACATGCCTCTGGCTGTTAGGTTGTACCGTATACTCCACTACAATCCAAGCATTAAAGGCATGAGATAACGATAGATCACAAAGACGAGGTTCCAGCCCACCTGCATGATGACACATAGCTCGAATCATTATCCCCACCGAGCGGAATAATATACAATAAACGCAGAACCTGCAGCAGAAACAGGACTTTTTCTCCTCCTCCCAACCCTGAATCCAAGACGAATAGAAACGGCGATTCCACCCCCCAGAACCCCGCCTTTCGCCTTGAATGCACCAGTCTAGCCGGGGGGTTGTACCGGGAATTCTTTTCCCGGAATACATATTCATGCTTTACTACCTGGGTATTGACGAATAACCGTGCTGTAGCGCTATGACATTACCTAGGGCGGTATTCTCCTCACTCCCTTTCCACCACTTTGACATTCTAGCATGTCGACGACGTCCACCACCCGTCGAGCGATGGCAACTGCACTATCAAACGTGGGTGAATTACCCCAGCACTGTTTCAAACCGTCACGGAAGTCCAGGAAATCGTCTGGGAACCATAACAGTAATGATAACTCGATATTATGTTCCACACGCAAGCTCATAATCCCAACCTCGATCTCCAGTAGGAAATAATATTCGACACTGACTCTCCTTATCGAGACCATCCGCAGGAATGTGCTGGAAACGAGATCCCTCCCACCTCACCAATAACAAGCTGTCTTATATTTGCAGGGTCGGAGAATACACACAGCCCGTAGTCCCATCGATTGCTTTTGCACTATGCATAGTGCCAATGAAGCTATTTCTCAGGCGACTGCCACGTTGCGACCCAGTGGCCATTCCACATATATCGACTTCCCGGCAATCCGGCTCTCGACGGACTGAAACCACATCATCCAGGCTAGTTACCTACATTTGAAAAAATCCAAGTTTTATTCGAATGCATAGATTAAAAGCCCCTATATGCCAGCTCTCAGCACCATCCACACAGCACGAATCGGATGATCCCAGGTTGGGTGATGAACAACCTGTTTTACCCATTGGCGCTTTCCTGCACGTGTGCGAAAATTTTATCTCTTTGATTATAGTATTTTAAGATGGAGAATGGTCGCGATGGAGAATGGTCAACCCCTGTTTTAGCGGTAGAGAGAATGCGATCCTTGATGGAGACGCACTTTGGGCATTTTGGGGAAAGAAAGCGGCGGGGCTGTTTTAGAGCGTCGTGTACGGCGACCAGATCAAAACTTGCGGTCCATAATGGCCACGGAATGAAAAAAAGAACGGTAAGAAACGCTCAGATTCTCCAATTGTTGATTTTAGTATCCCATATTCACAAGGGACTTCTACAGCTACCATAGCGAACTGAATAGTATGATTCGCACACCTCCGAACTCCCCTGCATCTCCCCGACGGTGATGATGTTGGTCCACATGAACAAGCCCAGCACCGCTGGGTGAAAACTGGTTCCCGATGTGCAGTCCCTGGTAGCTGAAATCCGCAATGCATTGTACGACAGCCTATTAACAAAATACATAAGGGTTATCCAACACGGCCGAGGTATCACGGAGAGCACCTTGCCGAAGCACTGCAAATCGAAATAGTTCTAGTTACGATGAGGGTATTGGTACATATTCACGCCTCTAATACTGTGTCCCTATGGAGCTATAGTGGTGTGTGTGATATGGTACACATGCACTGCAAAGTCCAATGTTTCCCAGTTGTTTTGACCGTGCAGAAAAAAAGTGGCAAACCAGTCCAGTCCTTTGCTATATGGGGTCATGTTTGAGGTGAGTTATCCATTTACCACATTCCAACTACTACTGCTACCGGAAAGGAGCGGACGTTTATCTGTATAGGAAATGGATCGCTCAGGTATAACGTTCCAACCCTGATATCGGATATCGGCTGATACAATTAGGTGACGGAGGGAATCTATGGTCAATTGCCGCGAAACAATGGATTTCAGGGGTACCAATCCCGGATTAACAGCTTTACTTGCGGTGGAGATGTGGAAATATCGCAGGATATGCTCAACCCTCTCAGCGATGCAATAAACCTCCACTTCCAGGTTCGGCAATGCCGTGGAGACTGGGCTTAACAAGTTCGTCAACAAGACAAACGGCGTACCAGCGATGAAACGCGACGCAACAGGTGTGAATTTTGACGAGGGGCGAGTACCAGATGTGATTACCTCCAGCTCGTATAATATCCAGTGATATTGTGTATGGCGCACAATATGACCGTGAATAGCACGTCGAGGTCCTTCACGCTATGAAAACTATACATTAATTCCACTGCGTCCCCGATGGCGATAACGAGTTCCGCTTGTTGTTTGACGGGTCAAAAGTACCGGGCATGAAGTTGAACTTTGCTGATCCAACATTCCCACCCCATTGGTTGGTCACTCGAGGTAAAGTCGACAATCTTGTCTAGTGCTTGGTTGACCTGTGCAACAGAGCCAATGGCTTGCGGAGGATCTGACCGCCGTCCTTGAGGACATGAAGCCATCCTTTTTGATTCCCAGGGAAATAACCTGTATGGGATTTCTCTGAATGTCAAAGTGACATGCTTATTTAAATCAGGGAAGGTCTCCAGACTGACACGCGATGGGCGTGGAATCGGACCATTGGACCTGTTGTCGACCGTCCTGGGAGAGAGAGAGTAAGAGACGGTAATTTAGAGACTCTGCGACTAATGCCTCGCCAGGTGACTGGTTCATCCCAAAACACCGATGCGCCAGGTGAGTTTCCATATGACTGATCCCCTTGTAGATACTGATCCCCAGGCCCGGATGAATATCTATGGTGGTGTCAGGATATGGGCATGGAACCTGTGGTTGCCCGACGGGAAATCGTTGGCGGTGCATCTTGACGGGATCGGACCTTCAACCCTATGTGGATGATATTCTGATGAATCCGAGGTGGGTTATTCATCATTTCAGATGACTATGTCTAACGAAGAACGCAGCATCTACTTGGTCCGCCAAACAGCACGTACGGAGGCATGCGTGCAAATGGTCGAGAGGACCCATGGTCCGTTCGGCACATCGAAATCGGCAACGAGGACGACTTCCTGGTGGCCGCACACATATCCGGATCGATCCGTGCAGATCTATAATGCCATTAGTGAAAAGGTACCCGCGCAGCTACGATCGTCGCGTCGACCATAGACGGACGATGTCTCCCGGAGGCGCGTTGCCTGGGATTATATATGACTACCATTACTACCGCCGACCGGATGAACTGGCTGCCATGTTCGATGAACGGGACAACCGTTCGATCCCGTAGCCCGTCATGGAGTATGAGTATGGGTGCCATGAGTCAGGAAAGGGGAGTGTTCTGGTCTTTTCGTCCAGTGCAGCTGCAGCGAGGCCGTCCATACGATCGGACTGAGAGGAACAGTGACGTGGGTCAAGATGGCAGCATATACTCCTCTGTTTCAGCATTTTGTTCACCGTAGTGGCTCCATATGCCCCTTTACAACACCGATAGTCGCCTGATCCAGGCCGATATCAGCCAGCCGACCCCGTACGGGTTCGATCTTCGGCCCAGATCGATCACGCTGTCGACTGTACTACGTGCAGAAGATGTTCGACCAACCGTGGTACGACCATTCTACCTGTTAAACCACTGGGCGAGTTTGGAAGCCACCGTACTGGGTTGTTTGAGAGCCAATAGCACATACTACGTCAAGTTACTGGCGAACCATGGCGAGGAAAAGCAACAGTCCATGTGCAAGTGCGTCGGACACTCGGTCGGGGAGACTGGAGATGCTCAGGGCCCCGGATGCGCAACCGGCCGCACAATATCACTGTCCAGCCTAGTGTGCAGAAGGTGACGAACCAGAGAGGGAGCTACAAGTTTGATATGGCTGCATTGGCTGTGGCGGTTCTCGCCGTGTCATGAGCGACTATATGGATATTGCTTCTAATGCATATTGCGGGTATTATTTTGTCAATAGTAATCAAACTGCATTGCTGCCGCTTCCAGTCACCTAGTTCCTTTAGCTCTACCTGCGTCAGCACACTCAGCCGTTGACACTGGCAGAAATCGATAACCCGTGCCAACCGCTGCTGTTGTGCACGTCGACCGGTCAGATCACCCAGTCATCCCATCGAGCCTGATCCCCAGCCAGAAAACGCACTGCCACTCCCAAGTCACATCTATTGCCCCTTCGTCTTCAATAGACTGCGATTCCAACGAGCCTTCTGGCCTCAGTACCCAGCCTTTTGCATACAACACTGGTGTGTACATACCATGCCGGACAGACGCAGTTCATCGGATGCCGTCCGTCATCGATGCGCGGCCATCGCCTTGGTCATATTGACAATAGCCGCCCTGTTCGGATAGAGCATATGTGGTGTAGTTACTACCCGGTAGGCCTGCCATCGCCCATACCGTACAATACCCCCGGTATCCGGCCGATACATCATTGCGACATATCTCCAGCACAACATATTGACTAATATTATCGCCATGCTTCGAGGTATTCCTTTAGATGGTGATGGCCTCGCCCATAGCCCTATATCCACTGTCGCCGCCGGCCAGGCAGCTCCCATAACACTGACACCGCGTTGCCGTAGTCGGACGCACCTTCGTCACGCCAGCCCGGACCACGAGATAGCAGCGCCCTTTGCCTCTCCTCAATCATCTGACCACCGCCCCGCAAGGGAGAGAGTTAGATATCGACACAGACCATGGTACATCATCCTCGGCTAGCAGAACGGCTGCCGCGCGACCGCCGCCGATGCTGCCGCCTGAGGCTCTTCGGGCCAGTCCGAAGGCAAGGAGGACTGACCAGCGACCGCTGAGGTCGACGATGACCAGGGATTGATCGGCATACTGATTGAGATTTACCTTGGATCCTCAACGATCCAGGGACAATAATGGTTCCAGTAAACAGAGCGAAATCGGGCTTATTCATCGTTGGAGCCGAGGTTGAGTCCCGCCGTCGCCAGATTTGGCATAGCTCTGCACCTTCCAAATGATGCCAATGCGGACGGGGTACGGGGCTGATTCTGTCAAAAACGCCTACGGATCGATCTATGATCTTAGCCCATCTGACTTCTACAATCTCACTTATATTGAATCGGTGACCCAAATAAGGCAAAAGTCGGGGACCTAAATAATGAAATATCGGGGACCCAAATAGTCAAAAGGAAGCGACACGAAGCATGGATACAAAAACCTCGCGTTACCCCTCTCTTTTGACAACTCATTCTTCGATTCACGATGTCCGACCTCCGACTATTGTCTTTGCCTCGACGTCTACGGCACACTGGTGAACTGGGAAGGTGGCATTCCAGCCGCCATCCAGCCTATCCCACCAACACAATGTTCCGTCTCCAAGAGGACATCCTCCAAACATTCCAAGACCTAGAGCATGATCAACAAACCCAAACCCCAGATCTGGTGGCATACTGGACCTCCTCAAGACCATCTATCCATCCTCTCCTGAAGCTGGGGTCTACCACCCCACAGCCGAAGAAAAGTAAATCCTTCGGCGAATCAGTAGGTGAAATTGTCTCGCGTTCCCAGACACAGTGGATGCATTACGCGACGACTTTCAAACACTGGCACAAACCGGTGGTTCTTATCCAACGACCGCGCGTCGTTCGCAAAGACCAACGCAGGTAGTTTGCAAGACGTGCTGTCTGATCTGTGCTCACGGCACAGGATATCGGGTCGTATAGTTTGATCGACGCAATTTCGAGTACATGTTGCGGGCCAGGAGGAGAAGTTCGGGGTGGAGATCATTGTGGTGCCAGACGGCGCAGAGCCGCCCCATGATCATCCTGCGAAGAAGGCGGGATCAAGTCGGTGGATTGTGCGATCGGGGGTCTCATTGGGAGGGTGAAAGAGGAAAGTGTACGATTGGAAGTTTGACACGTTGGGGAGATGGTGGATGCGTTGGAGGAGGGAGTTGTAGTATATATGGACAAACTCATCGTGATATCGCATTGTTCGGCTACTTTCTATAAACAGAAGTATCATGCCATAGATATGTATTCTAGAGGGTAATTCTATCCTGAAGCACTTTCGCAAAAGTTGAATAATATAACCTAAATGGCAGAACCCGTGCAATAAGAGCCAATTATCGGCCAAGACCCACTTGTGAAACAAGTCCCATGCTCTGTTTGGTGCGTACTGACCGCACAAGCAAATTATACAGCATGCAGTTGGCGTGTCAACGCCATGGAGCCCGTGCCTCTCGAACCACTTCCAGACATTCTGCCCTGATCAAATTGCCCTGCCAAAGGCCAGGCATCACCCCTACCAAAGAATCACAATCACCTTCCGTATATCCATCAGCATACCGGGTGAAATCCGCTGTCTCGACCGGGATTACCAGCGATTGTTGTCCCGATAATACCATCCGGCAACCGCCGTCCAAGCAGCAGCAACCTGAACACCCGCGCATCGCCGTGGACGGGACCAATGTTCCCATAATTAGCCGTTCCAGCTGCAAAGTCCCCGTATCCAGTCCCGCTAAAGCACAGATGGGATTCGTAGCGTTGGACATGCCGCCATCGATCGAGCGTGCGGCAACGTCCCTGCCAAATCGGCACCTCGTTCTACCACCAGCAGAGGACATCCGGACGAAATTCTTTAAAGCCGCGACACCGAGTCACCGGGTCGGAAGAGGGGGTTCGAAAACGCCCTCGATATTCAGCACGTCCGGCTGCTTTGTGCTGGATCACCCCGCAATCTCATGGGCATCGGTACGACTTTACCCCGGAGAGCACAACGCTGTCAGAATCAAATACAAGGATCGCCTGATGTTGAGTCCATTCTGATCAGTACGACACGGTATGACCGGGAGCCACAAAGAGGCAATTATATCTGGCAGAGTTGGCGAGGAGTCGGGGACGCCCTCGTGCAGCAGACGATGTAATCGAATCGGTCAAAAGAATGATGAGGGACTGCATTCAAGACTGCGCGCGGAATAGCTGGACTGCGTTTCCTTGTCAAGGACGTAATACCCCCGGTCGGTCGCCAATGACACTTTCCCGTGGTCGCACGAGTCGATCGTGGAACCCATTTTCAACCACGGCCTTGTAATTGATCGCAACACGCAGGATACCTGTGCTTGATGGCCAGTCTCGAGATTCAGGGCGGCAATGGGTGCCAATGCCTCCGCTACCGACCAGGAGAACTCCGGAATTTGGTCATATTGGTGATGAGATGAGGGGTAGACCAACAGCGGGGAGGAACTATTGGGAGCCACCCACAGCTTCACCTTTGCCCTCGGATCGACAATCTTAGCGGGATCAGACACACTTAATGCATCGTCACTGAATTTCAGGTAATTCCTTCCTTTCATATCCAATCTGATGGAATGGAAGAGACTTTTATCAGGTAAAATGCACCGATTGTCATGACGTAGTCGGCCCGAGACCGGACGGACGCCGACCGTCTTCCGATCTTTTGCACCTTTCAAACCTCCGACCTTCTCCACCATTGTGACACGCGCACGCGTGAAAAACGCCCGGATCCTCTGCCCCGCAAGCCTTCACGAGTGCACCAAAAGATGCACGACGTTCGCCCCTCCCCGCCTGGTTGATCACTTCAATGCACGCGACCCGAAGGTGTTGCCGTTGCCGCCACATGGGTGGCGCGTCCCCGCTGATCTTTATTGACCTTCCGTGCCGCACCGGCATCAGCGCGTATTTCGCGGGAATAACGCTGTACATCGTGCCTCCAGGAACAATTTTCTTCAACCATCCGCTTGCGTCGGTCCAATTGCTCTTTGGCATGTGTCTTGCCCTGGGATGGGGGACTCAATCACCATGAAGGCGGCGCTGGCAGCGACTGGCTTCCGAGACCCAGGCGCTTCTCCAAGCCTTTGCGACAACAAGTCATGACTGAGGCTCAACAGACGGGACAATCTACAGCTTACCTGTCGAAAAAGCTTTCAGTCTACGACGGTTTCCATGCTCGACGCTTCAAAAGTTACGGTTGTACTACGTCATGATCTGTGTATTCATATATGCCTTGTCGTGACTGCGCGCCCGCGAACCCTGTCTGCCCTGGCGCGGTGATGTGCTTATCGTCTCCGACCTCTTCCCTGGTATGTAATGGGCCCGATCCTCACCTTCATTCAAATGGCTTGTTAAGCAAGGGTACCCGTCCCGCCGGGCTCCATTGGTATCGGTCTAGGCGTGCGTGCAACATTATATTCTTTTCCCCAGTCGCCCACACGCGGTGCTGGTTAAAATGGAGAGACCTTGTGCGCATCGGACAGAAGTGCGCCGCAGTGTACTGTGCGCGCCTTCCAGTGAGCCTGTTGGATCTTGGCAGATCTCGAGGGCAATTCGCCAAAATGACGCCCGATGACGCCCATGCTGGGCTTCCTTCCGCTGACGTGTCCTGGGGGCCGGTGGAGTCCCGGACGATGTCGGGATGTTGCATGAACTCCTGGACGGCCATGTTCACAAACGTGTCATTGCTGGACTTTCACATCGTTCATATGAGGACATACCAAAAGTGCCGGAGAACCTATCATCGCTTGAGACCAGATTATAGCATCCTGACGGGAGGAGAAAACCCCCGCAGGCCGCTGGTCAGCATCAACTACAGGAGAGCAGCCATCTGATAGACGCGCCAATACCCCCGAAGCAAATGGATATGCGCCGTCAAACGCGAGAAGTAAATCGACAAACGACAGCAGAGGTGTTGGCAGGGACTGCTCAGAAGTCGCCGACGCTTTGTTGCCGAGCGCATCCACACCGTCAACTCGCGTTATTGGTTTCGACGGTTCCAGAGCCAGATCGACAAAACTGGTTACTCGAGGACAGACATACCGCGAAACCCTCCGAACAGCACGGGCAGATTTCCACATGGAGACAACCGAGCGACTGCTCGATAACCATTCCGATCTGTTTGGACGAGGAAGGCACGTTGAAAACCGCCGAACCCAGGGCCATGCCCCCCGTGGACTGATGCTGGGGTATGGTAGTCGAGGAGCGTCCTTGAGCAGCAGAGAGTTTGGAGAACCCTCCTGGACCATATTGTTCGCCTTCAGACTTCAGACTAAAGTGCGCGTATGGCTGCCTACGCGCTTAAGGGATGCAATCTTCTTTAAAATCAATAAGCTGGATGTTGAGCCCGGTGGCAGGTTTATTTGCCACCGAGGGAACCGATCCAGACGCAATTGAAAGCCAGAGCAAAGAGGCGTATCGACGCCTGCGCATCAGTCAGGGTATGGACGGCCAGTGACGAAACGCCCTTGAGTCGCGGGCATTGTTGCTGTTTTTCGCTGGCTGACCAACCCAGGCGGGATGTATGCCTGCGCATGGTAATCGTGACGATTGCCACGGCCATCCCGTCGGCCTCCCCCACCTGCTGGATTCTACCATCGCGAAAAGGGTATCTGGTTCCGCCATCACGGCGCAGACCACCATCCTCGTGCGCATGGCCGACGACTTTATCTTTGTTCCCTGGACGGTCGATGCATTGGCACCGTGCTCGGCGGCGTCCCCGGGTATGGTGGTTTGGTATCGGGTCCGGCCACGGCCCGGCAATGATACGGACTGGCTGCTATCACGGCAGCGATGACAGTCGTCTTGATGTGGTGGCGTCTTCTATCTTCCGCCGGCATTCGATGGCGGCGCTTATGAGCGGCGTCACATCCATGCTGGTCATCGGATTCAGCTATGACGACACGCATACACCGCAGTACGGACTTGCAGGGCACGGCTACACCGCGTTCTGGCTAAGCGATTGGTGACCGTTCTGCTGATTTGTGGCGGCCTTTGTCGTGTGTGCAAATCTTTCCCGCCCTCCATCTGCGACGCGACACACATGCAAGACACTATCGAACACAGTCAACACGCTATCCGACCACTACGCCACCTTCTCTCACTGGGGCCGCACCGACGCCAACGGCAGCAGTCCTCTGGTCTGTGGCCGAGGAAATCTCTGCTCAGCATCGCAGAGACCCTCGATTCTCCAAGCAGTATTAGAATCCTGAAGCTAGAAATGAGCATCGGACCCTTTTGATTCGCAAAACCGTCGACCAGACCCGCCGCCCCTTTGTCAGGAGATGAACCAAGGACTGGGTCGACTACTTGATTTATCCAGCACCTGCCGATAGATCTCCAAACGCGGGGGCCGCGCGCAACGTGGAATTCTCGACCACCGTCGAATCGGCGACATCATGGCCGTGCTAGTGTCAATGCACAGGCGTTGAGACTGGGGAATCCGCTTCCAGAGAGATCACCACGCCGTTAGTCAAACGGTGCCATGAGTCGTGGCAGGCGGGACAAAATGAGCAGCGGTTGGACAATTGCAATTGGCACGAGATGAGAATTATCGTTGGTACTGCGTGGCTGTGAGCTTCCGTACTTGAAGTTTCTAAGGGATTGATGATCTGGTGTTGGTTTTGAAGAGAGCGTTGGGTGAGTCTCATTGTCGGACAGTGGGATGATGCCACAGTGTTTGAAGAAATATATATATATGTAAAGAGCTTCATGAGCTGAAGATGTACATGTTAAACACCAATTGTTATAATATATTAAACAGCCATAGCTAATAGATTCATTGTTTGCATTGACTTACGGAGGACGGGCATGTAGACCACATTTCAATCGATAGATAATAAACATAAATCAACCAGATATAAAACATACATAAATCTATCAAGATATATTATAATGCAGAATGCCCACCACATCATAATACATTTAAAAATGCTCATTATATACCTTTTGTATATCCATTCTGTCTCCAGAATTATGGCTTATCATCCTTAAATCCAACCATCCGAACGGGATCAATCAACGTCACCAACCACGGTCGATTATCCCTTCCACCCTGACCCTCCAATTCCGGTGATCCCGTCCTGCGCCAGATATGTACTTTATGCTGTGAGATATCGTCTGGGATGCCACAGATTCCACATGAGTGTATTAACCAGCATGACAGCCGCCTCCCAAAACATAGAAAACCACCATAACGCAGAATATAACTGATCTCCACCATCCTTCAAGCTCACAGGCCCAAGCGACGAGAACCCGAAATGTTCCACGATGCGATAAACACAGCGAATCAAGATCAAAAAGGTATTGATATACAGCGTCAAAGCGGGACTGACAACGCGTCTTGTCCAAATTCCATCTTAACGCAACGGCGTTGGAATATAGCGCCGGGACGCAGAAAAAGCAGCAGAACACCCACCTGACGATCAACGATGCTTACATGAGTATTCCCCGTCTTTTCGACGGGGATTCTGGTAGTTTATGATTGGCTAGGTTGATACGCCCAGGGCGTTCATGACTTTTACACAATGGTGGATAGCATACCGAAGGTAGTGAAGACGCGGCCAGGATGCATCGGGGATGATAGGGATATAGTATAGTACGTGTCCGAGGATATGGTAATTGGCTAGTTCGAGGATAGGGCTGTATAGATAGGTAGTAAGTATAAGGTTAAAACATCCATATTTGGGGATACGACACGGAGCCATGGTAGATCATGGGGCGTGTTAACGATATAGACGGCGAGATTGGCATCGCTGTCCATGTAATTAAACGCGCCGTATTCGCGTGTTGCAAAGCCGATGGTAAACATGATACAGCAGGCGATATGCAACCACATCAACTTGAAGCATTTGTATCGACTAGGATCGTTAGTCTCTTTCCAGGATAATGTGTTATAACTTACTGGCATTGCCATAGATGGAAAGGCCAGATGGTAAAGCCAAAAGTAAAAATAATTGGTGCCCATTTGTTCGGAGCGCAGATGGAGAGGCCCCCCAACTACATTCTTTGCGCCATACTGGAAGTCATGTTGATATGAACTATGTTAGAGGCAGGGATGAACCCAGATATATATAGCAGAGTTGATCAATCTCACACGGCCCGCATAGCCCCATTCAACTTTAACCACCGTATGGACCCGCGGTACACAGCAATGTAGATCAGCCAAATGTATATACTAGGATAAGCCCCGGAACAAAGTTGAGGTGAATGCTGAGGGATTTCACCCTGATCGGGAAATGCCTATACCAACCACTTGTTAGCCCAAAAGGGATAAACGGTGGCTAAGAAACCGAACACAGGTGCATTGACACGCTCTGACATCAGGATTGGCCCGCCTTGCCCGCGTCCATGATGCCATAATTCCACCATCCATTCTGGATAAGAGTCAGCTGCGGCTTCCCACGGATTCCTATCATGAAGTGATAGCTACACGGAGCGCAGCCAATCACCCATAAGCCCGCATGCGGTGCTTCAGGACGATCACCCATGGGCTAAATCCCCGGACAGGGCTGAGCATGAGTCTTTGGTCCCAATATTGTCGCTTAACAAAAGCCAAATCATGTCCTACAAATTATTCTTGAGAGGTGTGGACTCGAAATGGAGGACGCATACCCCCTATGACCAATCAGCCACATCTGACGTAGTAGATCTGGTTTAGAATATAAGCGGATAAAGTTTCCATCACAGTTCAGTTCCCTGAACTCATACACTCTAACCAGTCATGGGCCCACATTCGATCGATACCTTTGTATAAGAAATGAGAACTTTATCAGCGCAGCGAATAGCTTAGAGTACAGGTAAGATCAGACACGTCAGAGTTCAGCCAAGCACCTTCTTATTCGGGCATCTAATGAGCCCAACCCAGACGACATTCTACGTGACTACCACGACTCGGCGGGCAGAGTCCACGTCAAATCGAAGTATACCATCCGATTTCCACCCTCTGAATGGCTACTTCCAGTGGAAATTTCACCTCGACTTTTCATTTAGGCCCGATAGTCGACAATAAGCATTTCGCCGTATCAACCGCCTTTTTCAGCGGTAAACAGACAATGATGCTGCACACGAACCCATCGGATAAGGGACCCCTGATTTAGCCTCCATCGAAGGCGACGAAAATATCCATGTTTAATCACCATCCCGTATCCCCTCCGAATACCCCGTTTAAAAGAACCAGTGGTCGAGGCGATGCACCACGCTACTCCGCAATACGCACCCGCCTACCTTCTCAGTTGATATCTGGGGACGCGAGAAAGGGCGACACGGGAACGGTCTGAATGGTTTACCCGTCAAGGGAGCGAAATCAAAGATCTAACGGGACATACTGCGTGCGGGTGGAGACTGGTCTCACTCTCACGGACGGTAGGCGAGCACAGTAGTGAACCCGGCACGGAATATGTCGGCCAGTATGACCAAGGGTTAAAGCTTCAGTTCTGGGCGGTGCGCTTTACAGGAGTATGGGGCGGAATGGGGGATCATGGTCATGACGGCGCTGCAGCTGTGGTATTATGATATAACGATGCCGGGCTGCCGCTAGTACTACTGCTGGAGCATCAGCATAGAGGGAATGGGATCCTGACGTGTTTTACATCCTTTGTTGTATCTGTTGGCAGCTTATGATACCCATGTCCCGCAGTATTCGGAACGTATTCCTCGCTGGTTGGCCGTGAGGAATAAAGTGAATGAAACAGCCATCACCGGTCAGGAGTAACTAAATACAGAGTACCATAATTATCGTCATCTTCAGATCGACAACGCAAAGTCTCGCCACCACGCAGCCGCTAGACCCAAATTGGATATATGCAGCGCCCACCCACATGGCGGAATGCAAGAGTTCGTCAGGCCGACAGAGTCCAACACAGACACATGATGCAGTTAATTAGAGAGCTGTCCTACCCGATGGAGGATCGCACCTGTCACATCCGCAATCCTGATCGTCCTCCAACGGGCCAAGAATGAATCGGCTGGGCTCGTATTCCAGCAGCTAGCTGGAGGATCCAACTCTTACCTGATTGGGAAAAAGATGACCAAGACTTCCTCCTTTTCCAATCGACGCGTGCAGCCCTGAGATCAGGCCCACTAGACTATTGGTGGGATCGTGGTGGGATCCAGCCGTGAGGGGTACCTAAATGTTAACCGTTCAAGCCGGATGGTCGATGCTGAACAAAAGCATCTCGACCATGATATCCACTACCGCCGCCACCGAGCCCGGAGAGAGACGACAATGTTGGGAGTGTCGACGTCGTCGACTCGTGTGCGACTCGTCCCGACCGGCTTGTAATAAGTGTCTGCAGCCGGCACCGGTGCGTCCGGGATATGGTAGTAAGAAACCACTCAAGTGGATCACCCAGGGACCGTCAAGCCCGCAATCGGGGTCGACCACCTGGATCCGGAAAAGGCAGCAATTTCTGCTGCCAAACGAAGCGTCTTATGAGCAAGTCTCCGCAGGTGGATAATGCCAGTATCTCTGTTGGCAGCAGTTTAAGTGCAGAGTCTATTCGACCACTAATTGTCCCGATGGGGCAATTGACAGACTCATCCAGGAGGCAGAAGCTGCATTACAATCAGAGCAAGACCCTTTGAACCCTGTGATTCTCAAAAAGCCTAGGGATTGGAAACAAACGACTTTTTCCAGTCTGTACTCCACTGTAGGTACATGTACCCGCCACTACCAATAAAGGTCGTTTTCCCGCGCATGATAGTCAACGATTGCATTTATCCCGATTTGGCAGTGATGCACGAATTGGTGCCGAATCCATATCTCGTGCTTCTATACCGATGATGGCGTTTTTTCGGATACATCCCTCGTCTGTACGCCACACCATTTGCTATCTCACACTTCGGACATCGCATCCAGCAGCTAGCATGGCAGCTGGATGAAGCAGCCTTGGTAGAGGAGCCGATCTGACCCCATCATCATCGCGGTGAAGCAAATGCGGGCGTTGAGCGAGGACATATCCAATGACCGGTCACAATGTACCGATACCACCATTCTCAGCGTGTTAATGCTTTATTTGCCGATGTGAGTGAATCCTATTCATGGCTGCATAATACTGAGCTGCAACAGGTGCGGCAGTTTGCAGCGCCGTACTGGCGATACCATCTGACAGGTGCCACGCATGATACTCCTGCGGAGGTCTGAAGAAACCGTGCGCACTTCAGCGATGTTACGACCGTCACTTCTTGTACTTCATGATGTAAGGTCTCCACCTTCTGGTCTTAAACCCAAGCTTATTTTGTATAGCATCGGTGTCATGGGAAACACCACCAGTTCGCATCAGACCAGATCCCCCAGCGACTTCGAACCCTGGATCTAATCGATCTAATGGCAGAAGCTTCCCGGAGAAGGACTCTTCCCCTGTATTATTCTGTCCACCCACACCTTTCTTCTCGATATCATCCGACTGCAACCATCTCCGGAATGCAAGGCTCCACCAATCCCACGGATGAGATCCCTCCAAACAAGCGCATACACCTTTACTCGAGCAGATTCAGTCCTTTTCCCCAGAGCAGGACAGTCACATCTGCAGCCCTCATGATGAGTGGCATATCCTCGGCCGGATATACCAATCCGCGATACCTCGTCTACTGTATCTCGTCACTGCAGCGCAAAGGCCCCTTCCATCCAGCACCGATCTGAATAAATATGAAAGCCGGCACATGGGGAGCCGACTTCTACCTAGCCCGGAAGGCGATGATGTTCCTGCTATTAAGAAATGTATGACATGGCCGCTGGTCGTGGTTGGTGCAGGCTGTCAGTTTGAGTGCCACCGCTCGTACGTTTGTTACGCAACAATTGAGGAGATGAGTCTGACGTGGCAGTCCTATTCCACTAACCGCTAGAGATGTACCAAGAAGTTTTGGGATTCGGGGAATACAGCATGGGATGCATGTTCTTTTGATCAGCCTTTATGCTTTGTATCATAACTAACTGTCTGTTATGACGTATATCCTGCATTGTTATGCATAATTAGGTAATGCAACACAACTATCCAATCTGCTTTAATGGACACGATATTCAGTTATCTATTAAATCGTGTATGCATGGGATTTTGGTAAAATAGGCCCACATGATAGATAGACAACAGGAATATCCAATAATAGCAATATAAGGTATAAACGAAAGCTTTTATAACTTCCAAATAGGGCAATACGGTATAGGGTATATCTCGCCAACACTAGAATTATAAATCATAATATTATCACTCCACTCACATCCGGCATTATCATCACCTCTAAAAACCTCGGTTTCCAGTTCCTGCACAAACCAAGAAGAGATATCATAATCAGCAAAAACCCGCAGCGCTGCCAACCACCAAAAACACCCAGAAAAGTGCAATACATAGAAGAAATACTGCTCGGGAACAGCTGGGTACCCTCATACGACTGCCCAAAATGCCTTCAAGAGCATAGGAACTCCAGGAGCCAATGCCATTTGGACGTAGCCCCCGCAAGTTGAGCAACGTCAAAAGCCAGGGAGAATTACGAGACAGGAATACCCACGAACAGAAAATTCCATTAGTATAAAGAACAACCGCCGTACAAATACAAGAACTTACCCCCGATAAAATTTCGAACAAGAGCAGAAAGCATCGTCACAGCCGCAATAAGCATACAGACAACACCGTAAAATAAATACGTAATACGCCACCCATAGATTCCGCGAATCTTCGTCATGATTAGAACTAGACATACGTCTGCGTCTATGCCCATATATATCATCAATAACCTTTGTGCTGATGCTGAGGGCAACCACGAGGGCTGCCAGGATACCCAAAGATGCAGAATGCACGATCAAAATCACCTTTTTATATCGTTCTATTTCCGCATGCAGACGCTGGGAAATAGGAAACATGATTGCCGCGGAACAAGAGGAAGTCCGCTAGTGCTTTGAGCCACTGGTTGCGATATTCGCGCGACTGAAATCACCGTTCCTGGAAGACCCTTGCATCTCGAGAGAGGCTGAGGAAGATGATATTAAGGGCAGTCACACTAGCAGAGTCAATATCGTGGTGAAAAACCGGAGGAAAGAGAGGACGTACAGGACTGCAGTAATCGAGAGACGTAAAGCGGGTATCCATAGAATTGGCGCTCGCACTGTTCGGCTGCTTGCGTTTGCGCACTACAGTGGAATAGTAGAATACCCCGACGAAGACCGTGAAAGAATAACGCGTGAAAAGCAATATAGACGCGAGATATGGTCGTTTCAAAGGCAGATGTAGAGCAATGGCTGGCAGACGAGCTAAGAAAAGCCTCCAAATGAGCCACCGCCACCGCGTCGAGGAGCCACCGATGGAGTAGTCTCAAGTGATTCACCAGATGTACAGAGAGAGCAGGATTTGGCAGAAACGGCAGGAACAGATCCAGGCTGTGAGTTGGCCCCATTATGTACCACCGCGGCATAGACTTGGGGTACCGCATCCCATGTGACGACAAAGTATCACGGACAGCAGGGTCTGGCTGGTCGTGATAGAGTGATTGGCCTCAGGCCCAGAGGCTGAGGCTCTGAGGCTGAATACGAGATTGTTTTTACATTAGTTTAGGGCAAGGCTGGCCCCTAATATAGATGATCCAATTGAGAAAGGGACGATTATTTTTTATTTCGGTGGCACTACGGCAGTATGTTCCTTTTGTGGCTTGTTATATGGTGGTGGCTCGGATAGCATGCGATACAAGTGACAAACGACGTTCATTTGTAGACAATTTGGCCGATAGCGCTTGGCTGAGCTCGAGCACAAGGGTTCAATTTCGTATTGACAATTGATTTAGAAGCAATAGGTGAGTATATACGGTGCTCCAGTGATAGAGAAATATCTGGACCGGATCCGATTACATCTAGCGCCTCAGTAAGTGGCGAGCGTCACCCCCGAATGGCCCCAGATAGATAGTAATTAGCGAGATAGAGCATTGGTGAGCGCGTTGGCCGCGCAGTCAACACAATTAGTGTTATGAATATAAGATTGGCGAATATAAGATCGGCCCCGAGTGATTATCCGGAGGATGAGCTGAAGTCCTCGCTTATATGTCTTCCCCCAGGACGAATTCTGTATGTTAAATACCCTCATACAATTCAGTGGCTTAGTTCTCTGGTTTAATGTCAATTCCCCTGACCTTTACAGTTGTTCGGCAACAATAAAACCCCTCAACGTCGGCCAGTGATGCCGGGCGAGTTTCAGCCCCCTGATTGCCACTTCTGGGTAACTAACACTACTGCTAGTCCCATTCTGTTTTGTGGGGTCATAGTTCAAAGCCCATTATACTCCCAAAAGACCCGGTTAGTTCTGTCACCCCCGGTGGCTTATATATGTCTAAATCGATTGCAACTACGAATGCACAAATATGCAAGCTTTAAAGACCACCCAAGCTGCCATAAATGTATACTGTTTGACCACCGGCTACTGACCATCTATTAGTCCGATGCATCACTGATTCTACTCCCATAGCCGCAAGCTTACTCCAGTAAGAAAACGAAACCAATGTGGTTTTCCCCTAGGATTTACAAGTAGCTGATAACCCGATTTCTGCAATGACTTTCGTGCAGCGTTGCATTAGGGTCTACAGTGTAAAGTACTAGACTGCGGGGTTCCTGTCGTATCTGAGAGTCGTCTTTCTACCCCCATTTCATTTCTGGGAGGTAACAGAGCTGCATGTCCCACATAAGAGAGAAGGTGAAGAAGAGCATGTGCAACTAACTAAAGTGACGAAATTCTGCTGATATATCAACGGCTAGTTGAGAACTTCACCCCCCATGGCACTAGCTCCTATTTTAGAACCAAGCGATGTTTAGCTTTTTTGGCCGAAGATCAAGTCTATGCACGACCAGTAACATGCTACGAACTCGAATTTGTGGCTATTCCAGCTGGGAGCTTTGGTTGAAGTCCACGACTCACCAATTTGGACTCAGTGAGTAAGCATTTTTACAGTTATATGTCACCGTATTATCGCATTCTAGAGGACATCTGCATTCAAGATAGCCTACATTTTGACGAGACGACGACAGCAAAGTATCTCCGCCAGCTCATTCATATAGTCTGTACACATGGTAATAACCACGGACTCCCGCTCGCCCACAGTGCCCACCGCGATTGGTTTTTGGGACATCCAGCCATCCAAACTAATGTCCGAATCATCAGGGTTCGATCGGAAACAACGGATAAATCTTCCGGCACACAGACTGTAGTTATGAGGCATCACCACCACGATTCTTTTGTGATACAAGTCCTCCATCCAGACCAGCATAGCGGGGAGGTTTTTCCGCAAGTAAAGGTGGATAGGCTGCTGTGGATGCTTTCACTAGGATCGACGGCCAGGCTGGCAAGGCTTGAGCATCAAGTCGCTGTGCCAAAACAGTTTAGAAAAAGCGGGATGCCAGACTCCTATTGGGGGCCTCTCTGCACGAGAGACAGGGTCGCTATCTCCGCCCTACGGTTCAGAGAGAGACATCTCGCACCGCCGACCAAGGAGGCCGGGCTTGCAGTTAAGGGCTCAAAGTTGCCTTTTCTCGGGCAGCTTTGAGAAAATAGAAGCATTTCAGCTTACGCCTGAGTTGTTGCCCAGAGGGTCCATTGCCATCATGGATAATCAGAGATGGCTCCATCGGAGAAACGAGTGCAGGCCATTTTGGAATGTTTACATAGCCCCCGGGTTAGTTTCTCGTAATCTCAGAGGTTCACAGCAATAACCAAGCACTTAAACAATTCTGGCGATTGAAGTATTCGGGTATTTAAGTAGGGAATAGAGGGTAAACACGGCAACTAGTAGAGCTGTATATAAATGAGGATGGCAATTTACCAGGAATAGTAAAAGAATTGTAAAATGGCCTTCCGAACCGAAATTAAGAAAGTCCTTTTATAATACTGGTAGTACTTTTTTAAAAGTGGTATTAAATTTTCTAATCTGCATAGGTACTTACTAAGATACCCTAGTCATATTTAGGCAGCCCCGGTTGAGTCCACAGGAACGGCCCCCTTAGTCTGCCTGGGCCAATATTCCGCTTCGATGGATTTGAACCCCAGAACACTTTAATCCTTACTAAGACCAACCACTTAGAAAAAACGGCAAGGTTGGTTCGCTGGGGAGCGTTAACTTGGTTTCAAATCCCTCTTTCTGAACCTCGATAAGAGAGACGTATTTACTATCCTGGACGTCCCTATTTTCAGTTGCTTGCAAAGCCCAGGCTGTGAGCTAAGTCGCCCTATTCCAGCCTCACGTAAAGGTCGTTCCTCAAGAGAGCGATATCGGGAGACGCTCCGGCGGCCGACCTAGTTGCACCCTTTAACACTCGATAGACAACCACTTTATCTTTCCCAAATCCCTGATCCAGGGACCAAAGTGGATATCAAGCATAGCAGCTTCCATCGGCGGAGAATTCAGACCAACCTTTATTGACGCCATACCCCAAAAATCACATGGTTGTTCTCCAGTATCTGCATAGATCCCCGTGAGTCCGATCCAAGCTTTCTTAGAGGACTTAGATACTTTGTCTCAACTTCACTGTCATTGCATCTGTATCCAAGTCAATGATTATACACCGAGATTGATAGGGTGCGTCAAATAATACTGCATTGTTAAACAATGTAACTGTGTTGTTTCGGACTAACCTTGCATGGTGTTGCAGTCTGGTACAGGGTCACCCTTCCTAAGAGGTCCCGGAAACATTTCGCTTCCTCCTAATATCCAAATGAATTTCCTGGTATACCTAAAAATATATGCAACGGCATTTTGCATTTCTCGTGGATACAAGGTAGTTGCCGTAAACATCTTTTTAAACACTGTTCATGTAATACGATCCCGTACTACTTTGTTTCTGGTTTTATTTTCAGGTATCCCCACCAGGTTAGTGATATTCCAGTGGCCAGACCCACCCCTTCATACAGGAGTTTATTGGTCTCTATGTCAAATCCTTGAAACCACAGTCACGCACCAACCATACTTTGGCCTATTTAGCGGAGTCAAGTTATACGGGATTCTCTTGCATAGCTGTGACCTATGCAGTTTGGTCCAAATCTGCAGTTTATAAGAATCCATGCGCCAAACATTGGTAGCATGTATAGCGCATGCTTCCCTTATAATGGGTATCTAGCTGCCTTGTTCGGTGAGCATTAGATATCCCTAGAGGGAATAAGTGATACAATCTACCACAGGAATATGCCAAGAACAGGGCTGGATTCTAGAAACGTCGAAACAGTAAAGTAGGGCCTATCTTAATGTAATATGGCAGGGGTGAGGAATTATCAAAATCCCGCGAGCAGTGTGCGTGGAACTACCGGGTCGCAGCCATTGTTATATTGTTAAAACATTAAGCATAGGACCCAGGATGCCATTAGAGGACTTGAAGCGCTGTCGAGCCATCGTCCCAACGCTGCATACGATTTTGACTAATATCTGCAAAGTGAGATAACATTGCAGCACTATGCAGATCAAGCTGCCGCAACATAATTTAGCGGTTTCACAGCCCATAACAGGCCGCCTTTACCGAACACGAATAAATGCAGAACGGGACCATAGCGCCTTGATCAAGCTCTTTGCACAGTGTGGCGCTGTTTACAGATACACTTAGAAAAGTAGTCATTGTTTAGCAAAAAGGGTCACGGGGCAGCGCCAGCACCTGGTAGTGTAATATATATGTTGTGCTGGTCATTACACCTTTGATTGTTCTTGACTGTTTTTGATTTCGTTAATGTATAATAAGATCGGATACCCAGTGTAAAGCTGCATTCGGTAAGAATTCGGGCGGCGGGTAAGCAACCACCTGCTGCGGATAAACTGCACCTATATGCAGAATCCGCTACCTTTGCAGTTTGGTATGGATTCGGTGCGGTAGTGAATCTGGTTTGGTATTTTAGCCTTATAACTGCTGGCCACCTTCATTGGGAAACACAAATCAATGCAGAGGGGATTTTAGCATGCCTTGGCGCCGTTCACGGAAGATTCGCTACTCATCCGCATTAGGGAAGATCTACTTAGTATACTGATACTATTTCAACAAAGGTATTCCTATTATTCCGACAGTGTATCCCTGAGGTCGAATCAAATATGGTCGGGGCATGGTCTGAGCTGAAGATATGCGACGGTCACGCCTTCGACGCGGAAAACGTCTCTGTCCGTGATGACCTTCTGGTTTCGATCTAGATCACACTTATAGATCCACGCGGTGCATTCGGGCCGATGCGAAGAGATCTGCACTCCACCGTGTGGTCACTGTGCCAGCGGATAAGACCACAACGGACAGGGTTATGCCCAACCCCCGTCGGATGATAATATCCAGACGGCTTCACCGTCGCTGGTTATAATGGATGTAAGGGGGCAAGGCGCATTCCCATCTGGCCTGTATATCTATCAGTAGTCTTGACTTCCAGGTGCCGACAATGGTAGGTGGTTGTGCCCTGCAGGTGACCGTGACCGGCGTTTTCCGCCGAGGATTCGAGTGTGTCTGATTCCATATAATATGATCAATAAGATATTCCACCTAGACAGATTGCATATACACGGATTGACGCCTACCAAGAAAAAACAAAATTCTTTTTGCGGAAGTAAATCACATTGTCCCAGTGACTCCACAGTATGATGGGCCCTAGAAAGGGATACAAATTAGACACGGGCGGGCAATTTATTCCCTTGATTTGTCCGAGTAGACCGCATACGCAATATCCCCCGGATATTGTCTCAGCCAGCTCGTTATATATATAGCACGGCACTGTGCTTTACCACACCCGCCTTTTAACCACCAGAAAACAAAACAGGCAGCCCGACGATACCGATATCTCATACCATTTAGATAAATCCCCATCGTCTAAACATGAATGTTAGGCGTAGGTAGGAATAGTGGGAAGTTGCTTGACCCTAACATTCCGGGGTAAACTACCGAGACGGAGATTATAAATAAATCCCCCTGTAATCCCTAAACAATAAAATGAAGATCATTATTATGCAGCATAAAAGCCGATTGAGAGCGGTCCACTCACCACTCTCAACCCTTAAATTCAAACCCGAGACTGGACGGAGCATTTGGAAAGCTCTCCCAACCGAAACATATCCTGCATCGAATGGTCCCACCGATTTTGGCTGTGTCGTCATCTCGGAACCGGTGGCTAAGTCAATCGTCAACTCATTGCATATACTTTTACAAGATTTCGGGTACACAGATGATCTAGGAATTCATCGCTACTATAGTATTTCCATAGATAAATCCAACAGTCTTGAGCAACATCACGGCGCTGGAAGGGTGATGAACGGGGAGACAACAGAGGGTAAATGTGGGTCCGATGCTTCCTGATTATTTCCTACAGGGAAATAAAAAAGAATAGATATGTTCTTGTTAGAGGTTGCGGATATATTACCCCTGCTTTTCTTAGACACTATCATCACTATCATGTTGCCATCAACCTAAGATGACAATCCGTTGTAATGTTGGACCCAGCTTCCAGCTCGGTCAAAACAATGAGAATCATCTGTTCAAGGGGAGTTCTAGACCAATTTGTGGTACTAGGGATACTTTTTGTACCACGGTGAACTTCCATAAGCAGGCATCTAGTCGGATTCAATTGGTCTATCTATTCTGACACGGTAGCCATCCATGGATCTAAGATTATGGTGTACTAAAATAAATAGTAAAATGACCTTCAAAATAAGGATAAGACTTGTCTGGGTCTCGCAAGGTAAACTAGAACTAGTAATTAATGTGGAGCATCTCGGACCTCTCGGCTCCTTACTAAAGCCTCCACGTCGTAAAAGATAATTATGGATGTAGACCAAACACTTTTATAGGACAGTTTGCTGGCCATATAGTACTGTATAGAATGATGCACAATGAACTACGGCGAACAGAGCAGCAGGCCAAGTAGAAGTGCGATACAATCAAAAAGAACGAAACATTATAATTCGAACCAAAGATTCCAGTTCATTACCGATTAATCCATCAGTCATTCATTTTCCGCAGCCATCGCATAGATCAAATCACATTGTCGCTTTTACAGAGCCAGACCGACACCCGGCAAATATAAGAGCATCCAGCGAGCCCAGTTCTTATCGACAAAAAGCCGGGCAGCGGCGCTGCCGCTCGGACTGGCCGAGGGAGAACCGGTTCCGGACGAGGTGCGCGAGGATCCGTCACTTGTGGTGGACGACGTATCGCTGGGTGAGAGGCAGACGAGGTGGAGGAACGGGTAGTCGTCGACGACGGCGGGTTGAGGAGCCTGAGCCCGAGCCCGAGCTGGTGAGCTGCTGACGCCACTTGAAGAGCCCGAGCCGGTCGGGCTAGCGGTGGAAGACGACCCAGTGCCGGTCTGGGTGCCGCTGGAAGCGCCTGTCCCGGCAGCAGTACCACCGTCAGTGCCAGAAGCGGGGGGAGACCAGTGGGAGGACCAGGGAGCCTGGGCCAGGGTGACGCTGCCGGGAGGAGTGGCCGAGTCTGAGAAGGTGGGCAGGGTGAGATGGGTCCGGCCGTCGCCCCGAGCAGGGGACACGTCGGTGTTGTCACCGGCCTGGGCGCAGGCGACGAGGCCAGTGAAGGCCAGGAGGGCCGTAGGACTGGGAGAGGAATATACATTATTGGTATTTGTATGTACGTAGAGGGTAGGTAATAGCAACACTGAAAATAAAGAAGACAAAAACACGCTGAAGGGAGAGAGAGCTTTCCTTTTATAGCATCACCACAGCCACGCTGACACAGCCCCCGGCACCAACAGCAAACGACATTGATATTATTAGGTGTTGTTACGTCGACATCCGGTCTGTACACCAGCCGTCTCATCCGTCAGCAAACAGTCAGGTAGTCATGAGTCCATCTGGGGAATTGGAAAGACCAAGACCAGTAGCGGGCAAGGCTGATTCTCCGCTGCGTCGCTGGTGCAGAGGCACCGTCGTTGATCGGCGGCATCGACTGGCCACAATGCCACGACCGCCGGACCGCCGAGTGGGATCGACGCTGCTCAGGACCGTTTCAGTGACGAGGCCTTAGGCCGATGCGTTTTTTTTTATTTTATAATTTGTCTCTGATTTTGTTTTGTACATGAGTCGGCAGATCACCTCATTCGTCCCCATTATGTCATTGCATAAAAGCATTGCGCAAGCCTTTGCATGACTGACGAGTCTATTTTTTTGTCTTTTATGTCCTGTGGTGACAGCAGCGACGCGGTTAGTGTCATCGTCACTCAGACAGGTAGGCAATCCTGGTAATAATCGTGCCATTTCCTACTCCTGCTATTAATTGTCATCCCAACAGCTTCTCGAAACTGTTTCATGATGGGGTAAGCGCTAGTTATCGAATCTATAGCAGAATTAAACAGGTAATTAAGTTAGTAACTATAAGATTGGCGGTTTCTCTGCCACCTTTATTGCCTCACGAGTTCAAAGCGCCGTCTTATTTTACCCGTGTAGCATGTCAAAGGCCCACGCATCAATTCCAGGTTTGTTTTATTAGGTAGGTGAATATTCCACATGTTTTGAGCATATATGCCATATGATATTGATGACCCCAGAGCGTAGACACTGATATTCGACTTTGGAGGTGCTCGGTCTTGTTTCCGCGCCAACCGCCAGGTTACTGGGGTACTATTTATAACCCATCAACTAGGGGCAACGGATATTAACCAACAGCAGTAGAACAGGAGAGACATACAACGGAGATACCTTTCGATTTAAACATTTGTTAGGTCCCTCGATTAGGCAAATGATGGAGCCCACTGGTGCTGTCGTACGCGGTAGCGGAGAACAGACGATGAGACAGAAAGCGGATCATATATTTCTGTCTGGGACTGCTACGCGCGCGGTTCGCATATGCGTGGGTGACCTGTTAAATACTATTTTGTACTAGCAGTAAAAGAATATCCAGGAACAGAACATTCAACATTTTAGATGAGCTCACACAGTATACGGGGATCCTCTCACAAAGTGAAACAATCCCACCGATGATTCTTCTTAGACATCTCACCCGCCAAGTCCCTGTCCAGGAAAAGATGCAGGTTCACCCTGACTTCTATGCAATCATGCTTTCTCATACTCTCCCAAATGCCCAGGCCACCTCCGATACCATCGCCGTCCCACATCCTGATGACTGGTGATTCGATGAATGAATGTCCCTCCGATACGCCCCTTTGTACATCTGATTGAACGTGGCTTCCGCATCGGACCGAATCTTCATCGCGGCACTGTCCCTGATATGCCCCGGAATCTTCAAAGAGAGATATTCTCCGCGGATAGATCCAGACTCATTCCCCCGAAACACCGGGATGGAGAACCGCGGACCGAGGGAGACGCTGCCGACGAAGTTTTAGGGTGCCAGACTCACGCGGTGCGTGGTGGCTGTACAGACTCCGCCTGTCAGCCCTCCAGAGCGAATCGGATATTCACGACCAGGGAGTTTTTTGATCGGTGATGCGGGGATCCATTCTCCGGCTTTATTTGCACCCTCCAGTCCCGGGGTGAGGTGTGGCTTGGAGCAGGAATGTGAGAAAAAAAACTGAGTTCTTTATGGGCGCCTACACCTTGTGTTTTCTTCCTCGGATGGATGGTGGTGGGGGGATATTTGACCAGCTTCCAGTTTATGTTGAGAGGGGAGCTCGAACACGGTTTCAGAGCATCTGGGAAGATCTAGTGCTTCCGCCAGCTGTGGTCTGGAATTCATCTGCCAATGGGCCTATCGCCAGGGTATGACTCAAGAGCATGGCGGGAAGCCAGGGATCGCAGTTTTGTCCGGCCACTGGTTATTATCGCCGTTTCATACAAATTGACGATGTGAATGCCTACCCGATTAGGACCCTCGAATATTGCGGATACAGTGGCTCGTCCGGACGAGGAGGCACCAGTTGCAAACTAGTATGTATTAGTGCCACAGAGCACCGCAGCCTGGGATGAAGAGTGATAGATCATACATCAAATTGCTCTCGATAATCCGACTTTACGAGCTGTGAACTCTGCCCCAGCCGAGAATACCCCAGGAAGTGTTTACTGCCGACCATTTCAATTTCCACTCTTTTCCAGCGGTAGATCAAAAGGGTGATTGCCTTGGCTACTACAGGGTTGTCCTCCTCACCTCCGTACACCGGCGGGTTGGTGAGATAGAAGAACCCCACACATTGACGAGAGCATTGCGCAGCTCTCTCAGGAAGGTGGCCTTGGTATCCGATGAGGTTGGTGAGAGAATAGTCCAAGACAGGATGGTAGAAAGGGAAGTCCGGACAAAGTCATGGTGGGATGATGATGACGGAGAATGGGCGGAGATGTCATTCTTAGTGGGTGGTTTTAGTGTTCGCGCCATCGCAGGATCGTTTGTAGCACGCCAATCGAAGAGGCTTTTGTGACGCAAATTCCATGCTTCGAAGTGTGCTCATATGCCCATCATGTCGAGCCGCATGTTTAGCCTCCAACATAGCTTTATGCTCATTTTGCGGCTTGACATCTATCTTGAGTCATGGTTCATGCGTAATCGAGAGCCTATACCCCTGTTGTGACATCTTCGCGCATACAAAGATCGGCTAGTGCTCGCAGTCCTCCCAGCCTTGTTCGGTCACATATCTTACTGTTTTCGTGATTACTGTGTGATAACCGAAGAGTCCGCCATTTGGCTATTTTATAAGTTCTCTAGGATCGCATGGTAAATATCAGGATCCAAGGCGTCCTCCTTTCCGGTCCCGAAGTACAGTACATCAGACGTTCTTTTCCCTCAATCCAAGTCATAACAATAAATGGCCCTACGCTGGTTGTATTCTCTTCCAACATCCTGTGTAGCCTATGGTGCGAGGGACAGGATGCGGGTATTGTTCGCAAATGTACTTATCAGCACCGCCTCGTTGCGTACTTTTTCAATAAGAAACATGATTTTCCAGACAGGAGAAAACAATCAGCCGATCTTCATCGTCCCAAATGAAGATGAAATCCGAAGTTAAAGGATCCCGAAGATATGGAAATGGCCGCAAACATCACGGTTAGTCTCTCGACTTGCCATCTCGCACATCCCTTTAATCAGGTCGAACACAATCTGATGCAGCCCTTTGTCAACTTCTTCATAAGGCCATTGGGTGTCATCAAATCCATAAGAGCTCTACAGACAGGGATGGTAATGCCAGGCTGAAGTCGGTTAAACCGGGGACTTCCATTCTAGGAAGTCACTTTATCGGTGCTTGTAATTTCATTTTCGTGAAAAGCGTAAATGAGCTCTTCTAGATAAAATCAATAAATGTACCATACCCTCCGCCAGGTATATAGAAATATTCTAGAATAGCTGACAGACTGTGGTTTAGAAGTGTTGTTCGGCAAGACAATACTAGTGCTGGCAACGAAATAGAGGTAGTAGTAAACTGAACGAAATAAAAAAGCCTCTACCAGTGCGGGGCTATGCTCAATTTTTACACTTCATTCTGCATTCGAGACGTATTGACTTACAGGGTAGTACCAATATACCACAGGCTACAAGATCACATCCACCATCGCATGATCTGGCAAGACAACGTTAGACCCTCGAAGTTCAACTTCACCTCAAAAGCCGGTTTATCCCAAAGAATAAAGCAGTCTTGATCTGTCCACACAAAATTGGGATCATGCAGTTCCATGTCGTCAAAGTTAAAATTACGACCCGCGCCAAAATAGGAACGATCCAACGTATGCCAGACTAACGAAGAATTAGTTAAGCTTTCCCAAAGTCGGTAAATATCATATTTGCGCCCAATACAGTTCCGAGGCCCGAAGCTAAATGGTTGAAGTACAGTCTTACTGTCGTTTTCGAACCGAGGGTCACCCAAAAACGCTCTTGAAATGAAGCTATCAGGCTCGGTGAATTTGACAATGAATGGTATGCCGCGAGCGATATACAGAAGTAATTGTCTTTAAAATATATTAGTGCGATCAAAGATCTAGAATTTAGGTAATTTACGCCCCCAGGAACCCATTTCCCGCGATAGTATCCCCTGCGGATCTATAATTCGGGGCAACCCAACAGCGACAGGAGGATACATTCTCAGTCCTTCATTAATCACGGCATGTATATACGTCAGTTGACAGCAAGCCTGCAGAGTTATTCCTGTCATCGATTTGAACGCGGTTCGCACTTCAACTGGCGTATATTAGGGCTCTTAGCAAGTAATAAGTAACACCCGAAAGCAGTGTCGCGGTTGTTTCGGATCCCGCAATAATTAGAGTGCTTGCTTTATTACACTACCTCCAAAACTCATGCCCTTCCTTCAGTGTCTTGATGTTTCAGGATGTGGTTGAAGAAATCGGCCTCTCATTGAGCTTTTAACCGGCCCAGAACCTTTTGTTTGCCAATTGAGATGCTGGTATCTCTGCCGAAGGATAGATTTGGGGATGAATAGGTAATTTGAGTATTGGAATCCGCCGCATGAGGTTGAATAGGCACCGAATTTGATGTTCCCGCGATAAACTTCACCCATGGATGGTATCTCCGACTCTTCGAGACAAACCAAACGGCTCCCCAAAATGCTAGGTCCTCGATAACGTCGAACGTGGTGGTTGTACCACGACACCATGTCGACGGGCTTGTTCTCATCATGGCATTCTCATGCAGACGCTGAATCAAAAGATCGATGTAGCCTCTGACGATTGGCCTCTGGCCCCGGAGCGAGCTCGGAGAATGCATGCGATAGCAGACGCCCACCGAGAGAATGATCCGCAACGCCGGATTGGATGATGCTGGGGACCATTTGCGGTGGGGTGGGAATAACCGGACATCCTTTTTTGGCCATGGCCGGGACGAGTTCCATATATATGGGTTCCAGGCGTCGCCATCGACGAACGACAGTTCGTCCGGGGCAATGCGAATCACTTTGCCGTATTTTACGTGTAGATCCCTGATGGTTTGGTATACGACCCTTTAAGATGGTTCTGTATGTATGGGATCCGTGTCGCCGCGAAGGACTTGGGACTGAATCGCGCCAGAGGGTGGAAGCAGACATTGTAGATAATTATACCGATGAGGTATAAAAATTCCCAGCCACGATATGTTATTGGTAAATAGACCCGTTGCTATCATCACGCAGGCTCACTTTACCAGTCCAACGGCCAGTCCGGCCACCAACACCGCAGGATAAGATGTTTCGGCCACCGCAATAGCCAAGGGTCTACCCATGTTAAGTCTACCGTATTAGAAACCGGTCGTGTCATGCGAAGGTAATAGGAAATTGCCTGCAGAAGGGACGCCCCGGAGATATTTATCCCTTGTTAGCACCGGTAGCCCCTCTGTTGATCATTTTACCTGACCAGTCAGATAAAAATGCCCCATGCAACTGCAACGGCCTAATACCATGTCAGTGAACATAAAGTAAGAGAGACAGATCCGCAACTCTACGGGGAAAATAACCTGATATTCACCATACCCCGCACGTCATATGCTACTCTCCCCACTGACGTACATATTGTGTTGTAGAATCCATAAGGATCCACGTACGAGGCTGTTACGGCTGGGGTGACTGTTGGGCTGCATGTCCATGCCGACATCCTGAACATATGTTAGCTGTGAAGGAAGATCAAGCATAATGACCTATGTGTGCATATCCTCGCCCTTCTTCAGGATGCAGGTACCATATTAGTGGGTGGTTTGTATATGCGCCATCAACTACGTTTAAATATTGTACACAGCCGTCATATTGAAAGTGTGGAGACCACGGCCAAAGTAACGCAGTTTAGAGATGAAGATATTTAGAAATAAAAATCTCCGGCTGAAGAATAGACTTTGAAAAACTCTCACGAATATGGAGGTGAATTAACTAGGAGTTCTTTTAATCCTGCTGATTGCTTCGACGGCTTGCCTGTCAAAAGGAAGCTCCAAGAATGTCTCCCATTTGTTTGCCTGTCCTAAAAATACGTATTACACTGTAGATTTAGGTATACCTGCCGGTCTGCTTTGATTTTTTTGCCAGCTGATAAACACGCTGGCGAAGGTGGAATAACAATCTAACTACCCTTTCATAGAGTGTTCTGAACGAGAAGATTTTTGTCTAGAAATTTTGGCTATAGCACTATTTTTTGAGGTCTAATATGGATCATTGTATTGAATGCCTAATTTGCTTGTGTGGATCAGGTGACCTAGGGTGGCCTCCGTGACCACCCCAGTGGCAATCTCGGTAGAGTTGGCCGATTAACATATATTTAGGCTGGCGACTTCTTACTTGGCTTCCAAGGCTTCGAGTATATTGAGCGGTAGCAGAAGTCGATCTAGGTTATAGAGGGCAGAGGTAGAAGGGTCTCTTTAAAAGCCCATCAAACAAAGCGATGATGTAAAAGAGTCTCCAAATTTTTTATAGCTCCCCGTGCAGGCTGATGCAATAACTACCATACCACCCTTTCATAGCTGTCTCTTCAAAGCACATCCCCTTTGCTTCAAGAATTCCCCGGACGACTGCAAACAGTCTAAAATTGTGGAATGACGACACACCGAGCAGGTTCTCTCCTGGAACAGTATAATCCCACTACCCACAATCCAACGACATATCCATTGCCACCGTTTTACCGTTGGAGATGCAACGGATGCTAGAACTTGTATTTTGGCTTTGACTCCGCAGAGGTCAAGGACGACGATGGTCCGATGACAACAAAGGAGGTACCCCTTTGGTGAATATTGGAGTCGGAGAACCATGCAACCTCCAAAGGAAAGGGCCAGTTTCCCCATTTGGGGAAAACCCGGTACGAAACAGGGTATGGGAATAACCTCTGATACGCTGGGTTTAAATAGCACTCGTCGGATGCACCATACACGGGAGTATCACCTTTTTTTTTTTTTTTCTCGACGTTTCTAGTGCTACGTTAAATATCATAAAGGTCAAAAAATGGAGAATGAGTTCATTGCTATGATGTCAATCATCCTTCAATACCCGTAGGGTGGACCCATGGATAAAGGAGGATGCTCGTGCCTAAGACTCTTACTAATAAACTTAAGTTGAAATACGAGTACATATAAGTCCACAGGTACCTATTGTCGTAATTCTATTATATCCAAGGTAACTATATAAGCTTTGGCGCAAAACTATCTACAAAAAAGAAGGGGAAAAAGGGACAAAGAAAATCAAGGTATATATTCAAGGCCAGAAAAGAAAGTAAAATGACCAGCCACCAACCAATCCAATCATCCAGTGACTATCTATATGGTCATCAAGAACGCGACCGAGACAGCAATCAGCGCAGAATACCGATTCAGATGCCCGCGGGTAGTGCAGAAGACGCAGCCTCCTCCATCTGCAACTCCGGTTCACTAATTCTTCGGTTCTGACTATCGACGGTGCCGTTCCAGCAGTAGTTTTTGAAACAAGTCTGGCAGGCCTTAGGCAGGGTGGTACCGGTTCGTTCTCGCGGAGCGAGAGATGATCGCGCAGCCGACACACGATTACGGCCGCCCAGGAGGAATTGGCCGCGAGTGACGACGTTATAGCCATTCAGATGATATCGTCGCGCTCGAGTCGGAGTACCTGCATCTTGAGGTGGAGGCGGAGTGGCATGTATGGGGGGCGATGGCGATACTATCGATCAGGGGCGACGGCCGGTGAGGTTCTTAGGTGACGCAGCCGAAGAAAGTCGGACGTTTGTTCAAAACCCAGATTAATGAATGTGTTCTTGTCCGAACAGGGAAGATTTGGTTCCGTTACCGATACCGGTGGAGCTGAGACTACGTTCGTGGTGAATGGACGAGTGAATCGCCGTCGCCAGCCGCTGGTGTCCGCGATGGAATCGACAGCGAAAACGACGTCGACATGGCGACCGGGCTGGATCACTGGATGCAGAGAGGGATGTTCTGGACTGCCCGCCGCCGTCGACAACATCGAGATCGCGCTGCTGGGCGTAGATGGGGTGGCGTTGCGGTAGCGGGTAGAACGGGTTGGGGGAGTAGACGGCGATATCCCTACCGTTTTTGGTCCATGCTCTGGCAGTTTGGTACATGGTGTCCTTGACGGTCGGGGGCATCGGTCTTGCTGGAGACGCAGGAGACCCTGGCTGAACAGTGACGAGGAGGTGCCCATGACGAAGCCGGCGCGCCGTGAAGCCTGCACGCACTTCGTCGTCAGCTAACTCTGCCGTCCTCGAATCGAGAGCCGAGGAATTCCAGTGGCGCAAAAAGCCGTGGTAGACGGAGGGATCCCAGGCCGAATCTCCAGGGGCTTGAACTCGCAGACGGTGGAGTTGGTGCCGATGACCCTTTCGCCAGGGTTACGTCCGTCGGCAACGACCAATGGCAGGCATCTGTCCGCGCTTGAAGGTGTCGGTCAGGGCGATGGAGGACCAGGTACGATGCCACCGTCGTCGGTGGTGGAGCTGATGAACTGGTGGGAGAGGGCACGACCCCAGTAGTCAGTGATGGAGGTGTTGTAGCTGGCTTCTTCCTTAGCGTCCACCGCTTTGATGAGATGTTTCCAGTAGCTGGCGGTGCTGAGGGATCTGCACGCCCTTGTAGTTGGGACCCCTGAAAATGCTCTTATCCAAATTTAGACCTTCTGTCCGCCTGTAGGGCGCTCACGGTGGCGAAGTTGTTAACCACGATGGAACCCAGCAGCCAACCGCCACCGCTGAGGCCGGAGACGCAGGTAGCCGATCGCAGCAGGTCGCCCAGCTGGCCCTTGGCGGTGGAATTGTCGGTGCGACTGTCGAAGGCCTTGAGGGCACCGGCGCCGCTGGTCATGGCACGGTAACCACCGCCAGAGACGGCGATGGCGATATTAGGGATATTGGAGATGCTGCTGGAATGCGCGTATCGATGTACTTGGCGGCGTCAAAGAGGCGATGTTTAGTCGGCCCAGGAGATCCTTTCCAGGGTTGAAGGGTCCCTTGCGACGGATCTTGAGCCAGTCGGTTGTCCGTTGGCATACCCTCCGGCGGATCGGATGCTGGGACGAGTGGCCAGGGACAGGGAGACATTGGCCGGGGCGTAACCGTCAGGGGCATTGGGAAGGGCACGCGGGATCGAGAGGGAGAGAGGCGGCGCTGGACAGACCAGCTGCCGCAAGGGACAGGAAGAGGGATCTTCATTGGGCGGTCCTGGGTATGAGATCTAAGTGAAACTCACAGTCAGAGAAGAACGGACGGAGCATTATATTATTTATTTTATCCTAAGGAACCACTCGATCCACGTTGGTACAGCCTTCGTCAATAGCGTCCAGTTAGCGTGGACCAACCGGAACGACCAAGAACGAAGATACGGTGCCCGGTGGAGATAAATCCCCAATCGTGACCCCAATCGGAGTCCGGCAGGCATAGGGCCGTAGGCAACATGATTACGGAAGGTTAGCATGGGGATTGCTCAGATCTGCTGTGTCCAGGCAGGACAACGTGGCTGACTGAGTGATCCAGGGGACAACAGGCATATGGGGCGCCTGAGGGGTGCTTTGTAGGCAGCAATTTCTCTCTTCTATGGCGCAGTGTGGGCTGGATAAGTAGATGAGACATCTTCGAAGCGATTGTCAGTTCAGAAAGACTGAAATTCGGCCCCAGGCCCCCACCTTTCCCAGTCCTTTCCGATCTTTTTGGGCAGCCCTTTTTTGCCCTGACGAACCGGTAACGGAAGATGACTCATCATTCGCATAATTTCAAGGGACTTCCTTTAAGAGAATTGTGCCTGCACCGCATAGTCTGTACTGGATATTACTGCTACCGCCATTAAATAGTATACAACACTGGATGGGATGTAGAATCAATATAATTAATATCCCATAATCGATCAACTACCCAGGGTCATCAAACCCTGATCAATCCATGGATACATATCTTGTAGCCTAGCCACACCACAGGAGGATGGTCAGATCGTGGGCTAATCCCCATTCAATTGGGCAAGTCCCAAAGTGGAGTCCGCTTGGCAATGCCAATTTTCACTTTATTCTTCCTTTCGGGTGGACCATGGATGTGAAAAAATCCTGTGGCGGCGCACATATAACTGCCTCCCCTGACTGACAGTACAGTACTCACTCTACTTGCTCATCACTGCATGGCAAGAAATACTCACATAGCAGTGAAAGAATGCTAAGAGTTTATGAATGTAAACAACGTTTCCAGAAACCAGGTAAAAAAGAGTAGATTATATCGCAAAATCTAGGACTACCCCATGCCCCCTCCTTATTTCTTACCTGATCCCCGCAATCTGCGATCCACCAATAAATCATGGAAATGCTTATCTGCCTAGTTAAAAACTCTTCGGCAGAAACAAAGCCGAATCCCCAAGCCAGCGAGGATGAACCCCACGCAAGAGGTGGCAATCACAAGGGACTATCTTGGACAAAGGGTAACTAGCCCCCCATGATTCAACGGAGCCATAACAAGCGCAGCTCTATATGCCCAGGAGAGAAAGTTCGGAAGGAAAAATCGATCCGGAAATAGACGCGCGATGTCAATGAGAAGATCACAGATGGTAAGTGAAAAATTTGAGAGTCTCATTGGGGTATTTAGATTGTCCCTGACTTGCAAGTAGCTGACTGGTTGATGTAGAAAGAATGTGTCGGAGAAATGGTCGAATTAGAGAATTGGGAATAGGATAATCGGGAAATCGTCGATAGTGTAATATTCACCAGCATGGATCATCACCTATATCTGTCTTTTGAAACGACTTCAACAATCCCTGAGACTTGATCCTCTTTGCGGTTCCAGGAACCGTGTATTCATCCGGACATAGTTCCGCCATCGTGCGTACATTCTCCGGTAACTCGGTGCCTGACTCCATCATACGAAGCGAGAAGTCGATCGAAGTAGCCCTGCGCCTGGGATACCGCTGTCTAGCTAGTCATATACATCATGGCCAAATATGGAGAGCGTGCCCTGTAATATCGGGATGGCCTCGTCCTGCAGCCGATGTTCCGCCCAGGTCAGATACCGTTGGAGCCAAGGCACCGCTATTTCGGCATTTTCAGATCCAGAAGCGCCATACGAAAACCTGGCTATGCCGCCCTGCATTGCATACATCATGCCCATGTGCGCCACGATGTTCATATAGTCTCCGGGTGGTCCGCACCCAGATACTCCTCTGCGCTGGCGAGCGCGCGTCGCAGCGTTCCGAGGGTTCGGTGATGCTGGCGCTGGCCTGCATCTGACTGGCGCCGAGGATGCGTAGCCCCCAGATGGTGAGTGCGTGTCCGGGGACCGAGAAGATTGTGCAATTCGCGGAGACCTTGGAGATTTCATCAACGGCTGTCTGTGTCTGCGGGTTAAATCTTGCGGCGGCTCTTCTCCACCCTCGGTCCGGGGGCATGGTCCGGAGACGACGAGCTTCAGCGGGTACAGAAAGCACCGCAGCCAGTGCCCGGATGGGTTCTCACCCAGGAGATGCTGCAGCCGTGGCACGTTTCTTCAGCCGCAGCGACGCCTTCCCGCGACGAATCGAGACAGCCATACGCCCTCGGCGAGTCTTCGGCGGGTTTCCAGCGTATCGAGATCGTCTTCGCCGATGGTCATCTGCCGCCTGGCCAGGACGTTGGCGCATACCGACTCGCCTTCCCGGTATTTGCCCTTTGGCAGAGAATTTCAATCATGAGAATTCCTCGGCTTTCATGGCGAGAGGATGTCGTCGGTCGAATACGCGCTGGGTGTTATTCGAGACCCATTCACACACCACTCTGTCGCCTTGTTAAGGTACCTGGACCGCAGGTCAGATCTCGCGAGGTTATATCCGACCAGTAACGTGCTGTGGTGGATCCGGACCCAGAGTCCGCAGATGTTCCCGGAAGATGGCTGGCCCTATATCCCGAGTTTATCCCACTGCCAATTATTCTTTTGCCTGCGGCCTGCATGGAGCGGGGATCGTTATCGACAGCGACAAAAAGCGTTCCGATGATTGCCGGGGCACGGTGCTGGCGATCGACTGAGAGGGCAGGATGCGCTGCTGTTGAGATGCATCCGGGGAGGCACAGGGGGAGGTAGACGCGACGTCGTCGACGGCTGCGGGATGTATCCCCTGCTCGGCAACGAGGGACTGAATCTGCGATCTGTTTGATGTTTCGATGAAAGCAGGTACATCGATCCGCGGGAGCCAACCTGCACATCTGCGAGTGATCTGCGCCGAGTTTGAGGCGGTCTCACGCTGACCGGGGAGGCCCAGGACGGCAGGTGATTCTTCGTCGACGACCAGCTGTGTTGATTGAGTTTGGAGCGATCCACAGCATTGGGAGAGGGATATAATGAACGTGACTGATGGACGCTGGCCCCGAACTTCACCAAGCAACACCTCCTTCCCTCGATGAAGCTGGATTAACTTTATAATCTCCAGCTGGAAAGTGAGAAACGCACGCTCATCTGTCGGGTAAATGAGCGAATTATGTTCCAAACAATCTAACAGATCGTTGCTGGCATGGCCTTTGATACGAGAACTAAAACTTTTGGCTGCGATCTGCCAGTTCGACGCCTTTGGTGCCGTGATGGACAGCCGGAAGAAGACGAGGCCGGAGAGGTTCCAGTTCGGATGGCGGTATAATTAGGGTCTTCTTTGGGCGTTGAGCAGGGCCTAAGTTGACATTAGATATATACATTGGAATTGTAATTGACACAAACCTGTTTAATCACCAATCCGCCTAGACTATGGCCGATGAAGATGATTTTGGGGAGTCGGACGTTCTAACGTTCTGTTAGCATGCACAACATACCGAAGAGAACAGAGATGATAGATACCAACTGCGGGACTCTGCCCATCCAACAAGTTCAATAGAGTATTAGCATTTCCTGACACCCGCCCATTACAAGTCTGCGGGTTCGTAAATGTTGGAATTGAGTATCCACAGAAGATGCGCGCCTGGGGAATGCGTCATGGGGAAGGAGATTCTGGGCCAGAAGGAAACATTTGATGGGTCCAGGTCTCGAACGGATGAAGTCATTTCTCCCCACGGGGTTGAGGCTGCGGACGAACACAAAGCTTTAGATGTTAAAAAAGAATAGTAAACAGTGACGAAGAACGCCTTTACCGATCTCTGGGTTGCTCAGCAGGTGCAAAGACTTCCCCAGGAAGGGTACTCTACATGTTCTCCAATATTCTTCACTAGCAGCAGCTTACAATCAAGTACAGAACAGATACTTACCACATGATGGATGCGCGCGACATCACGACGATGGATACAAACAGCATCCAGTGCTGTCAGAAGATAAGAAAGTCAGAGACTGCCAACTGCGGCAGACTGGAGGTAAATCTAGATCGTGACGGGCAGTCTGGAGCAGATACCCACCCCACCTTACTCCAATCGCTTCTGGCTCGGGGCCATTTAGAGCAAGAATGATACCAAGATGATGCGAGGCCGCGATACGAGGTTAGTGGCCGGAGGATTCCTCCCGATTGGCTTCTGCAGCCAGGACTGCACCGGAGTTGGTGCAGCCTGGCGTGCCGGACCAGATTGGGCGTAATCATCGAGAAAAATGGAGGATTGGGGAGGCTGTTAGATTCGCTGCCGGATTCTATATCCCCTGCTTCCACCAGTGGGAGGTCGGATTGTCGAGCCCGAGAAGCTCTGATGACATCCTGAATTTCCCAGTTTAACACATCAACGTTAACTCCCTGCCCATTGCCGTCCATTCAGTTTCACAAAATCCATCAGCCGCACAACTCGACCCAGGCCATTGGGTTACTCAAATCTGAAGGGTCGCTTTGAAGTGGCGCTAATTTTTCTGTCAGGGTGACCTCTGGCCAAAGCGATAAACCCACTGTTTTTACCAATAGCAACAGCCCCATACAGCCAGGGTTTCCAAGATCGTCTAGAAAGTGGCCGGTGACTGTATTTTTGCAATCATAGGTGTCATTGGAGGGATGTTGGCTTGCATTTGACCTCGAAGGATACAGCTTTCGGCGAAATCAGTCGATGGCAGTTGGGTTTGGGTTCAGTGTCAATTTTGAGAACGGTAATATAGGGTACGTTGTTCTTCGTAAGCATTGGAGCTTTGACTGCACAATGGTAATCTTCGAACGGGAACGAGGGGCTCCAACATTTGTTTGCCAGAGCCGTTGTAAAATGTTTGGGACTCTCTGGGTTTGACCGCATCCAATGCCCTTTGAATGGCCAAGAGGGAATTGAGGTGGCTGGGGACAGAGTCACTTGATCCAAGGAAGTAATAAAACTAAAAAGAGGAGAGAATGAACTCTTGGAAAGAGGTATGCTATTCTGGTATGTAGGGGTAGGACGGCGCCCAGAGGGATACATGCAGGGTATAAATAGAGAACACAGAGAGAGTTCCGATATAGTCCCCAACCCCCAGGAGTCTTAGAAAGGCATCATTCAATTGGCACCGCTAAACTAAAGGGGAGATATATGGGTTTGTATAAGCACGAAGACTGAGCTTCGCAGATAGACTCTGATCTCCGGTAAGGGTATGGTGTAAACACCGAGCTAAAATCACTGGTGCCTCAAAGCTTACATTATTCTGACGCAGATAAATTCTGTTACAAGTCACTAGCTATAGCGGAGTATGCCACGCCGCTTTGTTTATCATTCTGGTTATAATAAACGCCAGACCTAGGATTCCTACTGAGTTTATTGGATGAAAATTATTGCTGTCAATGGAAAGAACTGATTATCAGAGTAATTTCAAGAGCATGCTAGGATCAGCAAGAAACCTATTTCGCACCAACTAGAATCAGCACTACTGTGCTAGACTTTGCTGGTGCTTATTATAGTCGACATATAATGGATTTGCTGGTACGGGCGTCTGGCTTATAATAATGCAAGCAATTAAAAAATTTAAAACGAACTGTTAAATTCCGCTGCTAAAATAGATACCAAACTTCATTGCTTTCTAAAATTTTATATGCTTTAACGTCCCTTGTAGATGACACATATGCCAGGCGACTTACCTTCAACTGGCAACCACCTCGCTTTCTGGGATTTATACATATCTATAATATCTAGCACGTCCGTAATATTTTTTAATTCGATCAGTTTGTGAAATTCCATTGGCATTATGCCTGCAGAGTATATATTTTAAGAGTAGACAAACAAAATTTCGACGTTATATATACACAGTACGTGGGAAAAACAGTCGCACGTTGTTCGCCTAAATCATTCTGGCGCGAGATAGAAATGTCTCAAAGAATGGAAATGACTAACCCAGGCGAGGAGGATCTTACGCATGCTAAAATAGATCGGCGTAAGTATGTCCCTTTAAACATACCCCAGGTATTAGGTTCCTAGGGTTGTACTCAATGAATATTTTACAGTGATAAATGCAGAATCCCGAAGGAGGGTCCACCCAGATACCGGGGCATATTCGTGCAGGAATATATAATGCTTCTTTACCTATATATGTAGCAAATGAAACCACATTACTATTATTGGTTTTTAATATTATATGTAAGAAATACTCCACTAGTTTAGAATACCGGGCTAGCTCTTGTCCACTGTTGTTCTAGAGTATTTGTATCTCTATCTATCCGGCCAGCTAAATCGAGATATGAAAAACCTGATTCAGTATATATCTATATGCCGATCAATCCGTGATAGCTTCATCCTCTGCCTTGGATTTGTCTAAGGAGCGTGAAACAACCATCTTCGCCATATGTCTATCACGTGCAGTCCGGCTGGCAAACCACCAGCCACAGTATTACCACAGCAGAAGCAGAACCGCTGTGTCAGACCCATTATTGCATAGACCAATAGACAGGAGATACCGTCCCACATGTGAGATCTTAAAAACAAATCCATCTCTACGCCCACAGCATGGTGGTATTACGTATACACACCCAGTGGAAGTGTAAATCCCCACCGGTTCATAAGCACATTAGAGCGGAAACGGCGAGCCATAATAAATAGAGCCAGCGCAAACACCAGCCACGAGACCAAAGCCCACATGAAAAGTGATATCGCGATGCCGGGCTATATGTCCGACTATGGATCCAAAGTATTATTAGACTTCAAGTAGCTTCCCGAGCAAATCTTCCCAAGATGATAGAGAATGCTGCGTAGTCAGTATCAATACCTATTCATATGACTGACAGCTACCGAATCCACCAAATCCTAACGGCCCAAGAGGCAGAAAGCAGTTCACAATTGTCTCCCGCGATGGGAGCTTATGGACGGCCAGTCGCTGATAGTAACCAAACCATCATTGCCATGGTGTCGCCATTCCCCAGAGCACATAGGATGCAATCATTGTCCCCTTGGCGGGGTAAGGTCTGGCAAAATCAGCTACTTCCGCACCGGTTCCAGAAGCAACAATCGTTGCAGCAATCGGGAGTAATTGAGGGCCGTGATGCGCTCCAGCGAGGTGACATGGCTCTTGTGATATGCTAGGCATATGTTAGATCTTATGAATACCATCGGTGGGAAAACTAACAGGACAAAAGATAACGATACCGTCACTGACGCAGCAGCAACCGCGTCGACAATCCACAGTGCCCAGGCTGTCGGACGCGCCTAATCACCCCACCTTGGCACGCAGATAAACACCCACATCTCAATCAACGGCGATTCCCATGGGACAAGTAGCGAGAAAAAGTGAATTGACGGGATCTTGGATCATTACGCCCCAGATCTCGGGGTAGAGCGCATATCGCAGGATGGACATGGAGAAGACGGTGGCGAAGAGGATGGCATTCAGACGAAGAAAATAACGGCCATGTAGTCCAACGCTGCATATTCAAACGGAATAATGTGGAAGAGAATGCCAACAATTCCGTCCCCATTGTGGTTGAGAACCATCTGCGAGCCGTTAATAGATGCGCTTCAACATGGATGCGATGAGGTCATACGATGGACTGAAATTGATCACACGCCGCCATCCTGCCGTGTATTTCATTGGAGAAATATGAGACCGTTGGTCCCCGCGGATGTTAGAATTAGTCGCGTTCATTGTAGTTATTCTAGAGTGAGAGTAGAATAGAAAGGAATATTCGAATCATTGAATATAGGAGAATATGACGGCCGGCTCGGCCGAGAGGAAACTGATCCGCCGTCCATCACCTGAAAACATCATCACATCTCTGGCGACTTCAGATCTAAGTTTCTATCGACTAACACCAGCATTGACACTATTAACTCTCTGTCTATCGTCATATGTCTTACCACATTAACACATCCACAATGCGTTATGTTATGATTATTCGCTCAGGGGAAGGAATGTGTGGCAGAAGTACAGTATACCAGCTACACGCCAGTAGTAGGCTCGGGCAGCCTGTCTAGCTTATCTAGATGGGGACTAACTAATGTTGAGCATATTACAAGCATGGGCGCCTGCCCCGGTTTCGACCCTCGCTTAGTCATCATTTATGTAAGTCGCTTTAGCAAACACAACCTGGCGGCGACCCGGCCACCCGTTCAATAGAACAAGCAATCGCTTCCAACAGGTTATGACCCTCAATTCAAGCTAAACGAAGACCATTTTGTTTATAAAAATATACGGAATCGCTTCGGCTAGCACTAATTCACCTGCTGTTTCTTTTATATCGTTATTCCACCCTATTGCATGTTCTAAATTATTTATTTACTGATTCATTGTTTACTTCTAATGCGGATTTACCCCTAGATTCGCTGCTACCAGTTGCGATAATTATTGTAGTATCACCACCGCGATGCCTCCAAAAACCTCCAAAGGAAAGGATAAAATAACTGCACCGCAGACTCCCCTTATTAGTAACACCAGCTTTAACTGGGCAATGGCCCTTTAGAGTAAGAAGGCAGCCCCTAATATCTAATCCTATAAAGGGAAGCCAGAGATAATAATATAATATAGTAACACTACCAACCAGTAAAATACTAATCTTATTTGTTAGATTACTAAGTTAATTCGTGATTAAATATAATACCTTTGCGCGATAAAATCGCGGAAGTGCGCTGGGAAATGCGACAAAAGACCTTGTAACAATTATTAAAACAAACTATGTATATCCAAAAATATTCAACAAACTTCCTTCATATACAATGGATTTGTTCAAAAAATAATGGCCTACCAAAACTATCACGCATATTCGATATGCTGAACACCACAGTTTACGTAATTGAGAACCCCAAACCATAAATCCTTTTCGCAGCGTGCAACTTAGATCTGCATCAAAATTGGTAATAAGCGTACTTTATGGATGCATGCTTAAATATCGGTAAGTTAATGTCAAGTCAGGATTTGCACATCCTTTATTGCATGTCCCTTTCGAACCGTTAATTGATGTAGGTTTTAGATTGAAGGAAAAAATGTTATCACTTTAAATCCGTTTCCAAGCAATGATCCCATCTTAATCGAAACATGGAGTGCACGGCTGGTAATGCCATACTTTTGGTAGATTTACATTCGGCGGCAGATGTCACACACATGGCGATGGTTTTGTAGTCTCCCTTATATTACACAAATCAACCATCCCTTGCTCAGAACCCCTGAAAGCTTACCACCAAACAATAGCGGACCATTTCACAGTTACACAACTGTTACCAAGGGCTAACTTCCCTTGGCCTGCCGCACGGTGTGTTTTGGAGTTATTCCATAGCCATTTCTTTGATCTCTCGTATGGCAATACGATTGTTTTCATTGTCTCGGTAATGCGAGAGTACTTCGCCGTAGATTGCCATCAACCTTTCGCGAATCCCAGTAAGGTTCCTGCAGTGTCGGTGTTTTTCCTCTTTATCTGTAATTGTCCAGCCAAAGACCTTTCCAACCTGGGCCTCTTTGGTTTAGCAATGATCGCGCTCCTGATGCTGCACTTAGTTCATAGCAGACGCCGCTATATTTCCCCCCTCTATCGTTGTGGCAATCCATGATACGAGGCAACCAGAGAGCCGAAAACCCGGAAGTCTATAACCCTCTGATGTGAAGGATCTATTTTTATTCTGTTTACTAGAGAATGTATCGATGGCCGATTGAGCCTGGCGTTTAGGGCCCATCCGCTTCATTTGCCGTCAAATTTTAGTAATGGTCTCCCAGGCTCCGCTGTTAGAATGGTCCAGGCTGAAGCCATAGAGAACTCGGACACCAACGGACTTCAATTTCCTTTTGTGCCATTTGCTGTAGCTCTGGGATGATACACTCATTGCCTGCCGAAGAACAATGGCCTGGGTGCTTAACGTCCAGCCAGAGAAGTAATTGGTTTCCCATTCATTATGCCAGCGGCAACAGCGCTAAACAATTTTTCCACGGCATCCTGTGGCCTATCCCAAGGTGTATTCTTGTCAGCTACGCCACGCATAGCTTCAGACCCCATTATAGGGTGCCACATCCACTCGGGCGCATTGGCACCGTCACTGAGCTTGTGGGACCGCACTGGCATGCAAAACGCGCGGTGGGCAATGAGATATATATCGGTCGTCGGTGTTTTGTAACACAGTCTGCTCGAGAATACCACCAGAGCAGCCGCTGGCCAGCAAGAAAGCAAAGGGTATTATATGAATGAGACATAGCTTTAAAAAGCATTATGAAAAGGGATCCAGCAAGCCATTGATAACTATGACCTATTATCCTTTTGTCAGTCTCTATTATATAATGCATTATTTACGTTTTGCTTAAGGCCTTTTGTTTCATACCTCAGACCACTAAATTATTGTAAATATGTTGATTCTTGTCCAGAGTCCAAATTAGTTTTAGATTTGCGCCAAGTCGAAATAATATTAGGATACTCTATAGTACATAGTAGAGCGAATAGAACCAAATGCAGATTATTAGGTTTCCTATATAATCCTATTCTTTATGAGAAAAGTTTAAGACAAAAAAGTTTAAAACAAAAGTAAAGAAAGGCACGTAAAAATTAGGAAAGTGAACCAGAGAAAAAGCTCCACAAACCCGTCTGTTACTCGGATGGCTTGTAGGGACCTTAGGTGAACATGTGCAAGATGACCATTACACTTCCTGCATGCCATAAGAACACGTACTTCAGCTAGACACAATTCCAAGAATATATCGCAACTACTCCGTCATATAACTTAGTGAGACGATTTAATTTGTCATAGACGTTGCATTCCAGAAATGTAAATGTGGGCGATGGAAAATCGTTACTTCAGACGCCTCCTGGAGCACGGTATCATCGTCGTTGGCTATTAGTTATGGCCCCCTAAACTGGTGATTATATAATGATATCATGGTCATCCATTGCGCGAGCGGAAAACCTTGAGTGGTGTTCTAATTTGGGCCGAAAAATCATATTATATTACACAGAAGGGTTATTAACATTTCACCGACTTTTCTCAATAGATCGATCCACTAGATACTTTATCTGGGATAGGGCGTTGGTGTGACGCTCTCTGTCGCACGCTAGGCTCTGGAAACGGATCAAAGCAAATCAGCATAAAAAGAGCTGTGTTCTGGGGAAAAAAGAAAAGGACAGTTGAAAAATGTGCTTCTATTAGCGCTTATAGTAATGAGGGAAAAGGCGAAGCGGGCTTTGGCGAGTAGGACTATCGGGGGTGGTTCTGGTCCCCTCTCAATTCACAGAGGTTTTTAGTATTTCAAAACATTATAAATAATGGCATGTACTGAGAGAAACTAAGTTTTGATCTGATCTGTTATCTGACAATAATCATCCTTCGAGATAGTGTGTACAGATTAACAATATACACAGAAGTGCGACTAACTCTGCCCAAGCTTTGTGGGGAAATGGTAGATAATTGAAGCCAAACTCCCGTTTTAACCTTTGACGACCTTTACTACTGCAGTACCAAGTCCGCTACCAGTCCTGTTGTAGCCATCCGCAGTCACAGTATAGCCGGATCTGATGTTTTGCACCTGAAATGTATTAATTAGTTTTCGACCAGAAAGGTACCTTCCCAAGAGAGAGTAGCGATGCAGTCATCATCTAGATCAGTAAGATCAAGGGTACCTTTTGTATCAGTAGGTTCCGAGTCGCGGCCGCAGAAATTCACGGTGAATCTGTCATTGCTTTGATCTCTGTGTCATTAAGATCACGGGGAGGGATTTCCTTCTCTTTGTCGCCCGCCTCGTGAAATTTTCCGCTGTGATTTTAACATGTTAAAGGCAAGCCCCAGTGCTGGGTAGTAATGGAAGGTGCTACATACGGCTGCATCTGCCCTCGCGATCAGGATGCTCTCGCCATTATTGTTCACACCCTGATCGTGCCATCTTGTGCGTACATTTTGGATGGTAGCCCGGGTTCTGGGTAATACCGAGCAATACCAGCTACCGCAGCGAGATTTAAAGAATGTATAAAGGGCACCGTAGACCATTTATATTATTGTCAAACTGTGAATGCTCCAGCAAACAATTACCGAGCAAAGGCTGACCAGCTATATTATAAGTTCGACAATATTCTGACAGAGGAGCCATAGTGCAATGGAACTGTTGGCATCATGCAAGGAGACAGAAAGTGGAGTACGATTCGATGAGAGTTTGTAGTGCCACTGGGGTACCATGGAAGCCCACCTCATTTATTCAAGAGGTGACGCCATGCATGATAATCCTGACACCTGCTCTCCATGGCAGTTTCTTTTCGTAGAAAGTAAGCCTGCGTTTAATGCACGAGGGCTTTCCCCGCAAAGAAGATCAGATTAAATCGAGGAGTACCCACCGGTTGCTATCGCCTATGTGAGGACACCGACACCCCACAACTCAGGACGCTGGATCAATCGCGGGTGCCGGGATGTGCGTCAAGAGTTAAACTTATTGCTAAAGCCTCCGCTCCCAAAGCGGCCAATATTCCCTTGAAGTTAGCAATACCATGGGTAAGTCTTATGTAGATCGCTTCCGTTCGCATGTACACTTATCCTTGTGTGTTCTTATAGTATCAGAAGCAAATCAAGCCCCTTCAAGTATAAGATAATTCACAAGATACCACGAAGGCCTATATTCCTGACATTAAGACGATCGTAATCGGCTACCTACCCAACAAAGAAGGTTTAACTTATTTTGTAGCGTAAGTTTGCCTTGACATCATCACTGGCGTTATGCAGCAGATAGAGCAGATGCATCACGGCACCTGACGCTAAAAAGCATCTGCTAAAAAGGTCTCGGCTGAGTATATAGTTGTAAAGTCAACTAATTCATAGCTGCATTCATACTAAGGTGTGACGCAGTACATCGAAAACTAGAATATGACATAGACCATCTAAAACCACAAAGCTCTCTTTAATAGCCAAAATGTGGGAACTGTAATCGCAAGCGGTTTCTTACCCCAACTACTGTGCCTATTCGGTTGGGTATTTCATTTGGTAAGCCATGGATCTTGCACACAGTACCCTCCCATGCAGAATCAGCCAATTAATAGCTGCATTAGTACTAGGTAGATGGTAACATCGAAGACGAGAATATCGTGACAATAATAACTATTCACATTGCAAAGCTCCCTGTATTAGCCATAATGCCAATTCGGTTCATATTAGAATGTCTTTCATTATTTCTGCACTTACTGTAAAATATCTTTCCTTTTGTGTATGCGTCATGTTGATAGCTAGGTGGTAGTCCCACCTGAATTCCATCCCAGTAACCTGGTGGTAAATTGCTATTCATGATTTCAGCTTTTTCACGCTAGCATGGCAAATGGTGTACGAAGTTCTTCACACCAGTTAGTCCTGTGGCAACCGGCGCAGTGACGGTTTGGTGCAGCATTTGGTTTGCCATGCCGTAGTTTGTTTGTTCGTTATTATATGTCTCATCTACTATGTTTGTCGTGGGGAACGATGGAGCGGTAGTATGATATTCACCCTATTGCTTATCTCGATCCTCTTCCTTCCTCTCTCCATGCTTTGCAGTATTCTCGAAGGTCGAATAGAGTTGATTTTGGTTTCGTTTCTCCGTTTGTAAAGGCCATGCAACAGTCCTATATCTTCTCACGTTGCATCTTGGATACGTCCCTTCGAGATATCTGACGCACAATGTAGTGGAACTAGCCATCTATAGCTCTGTAGTGTAATGGATCGAATTTCGTGGTTGGTTGGATTACGGGACGACTTACTCCCATCGCGGCAACAGGCAACGCTCTTCAGGGAATGCCAGGTGTCTGGCTGACATGTACTCCGGGAAATGACAATATCGCCTGAATTTATCACACCATGTTGTTTCCGCTTTCATCGCTTCAACCCTTCACGAGTCCATGAATCATCAGCCAATATTAACGGTACTGGGTAGACATCCCGAGAGACACCCCTTGAAATCTAGAATGAGCGAAAATATTACCGTACATTGTCCGTCTATGTCATGGAGTTGTTTAGTACGAGGGTTTGGCTCAAGCCAAACCTTTAATAAATTTGATCAGTAAGTTCGTTGTTAGCAGTAACTATATGCCGGGCAGCCTCGTCCGATTAAACCAGCCTACCGGGCAACGAATTTACTCCATTCCTGTCGGCATTACTGGAGGAAACGGGCGATTTGTTTTTGGTCTCAGATTCGGCCGAGCCAAGATACTTTGGCAGTAGTCAATTGTAGTTTTGAAGAGTTCTTTTTTGTTTTTAAAAAAAAAAAAAAAAAAAAAATTTTCCAAGGGCGATGCAACGGTGGCTTTTTCTGAAAAGTATTGTTGTAACTACATTCGAACGTCATCCCATTCTCCGAATTAAACAAGGTCAGCCAGCCGCATATTGACGATCAGTATGAATGCCGCTGCGTGCTCACCTCCTCACGGTAGAACGTGAGGTGAAAGAATGCTTGTGTAACACTAGTCGGGTTGTTGCGATAATTAGATTCCCAGTAGGTTAGGTCCGCAATGCCAAGAACAGTTCCTGCAACGGGGTAGTATTTCACCCTAGTCGCTTGGAGTCCCCCATCACAGGGGATAAAGAGGAACAAGGACCATTTTTATGCTTTTGGAACCCCAAGCAAAGCGACATACTATATATTCCATAATTTGTATTGGTGTATAACAACCCATTTACTTTGTTCTATTTAAATTTTGCCAGATGGTTCCGGGAGAGCTTCCACTCCAGGGTAACGGGAAAATCCCTGAGATCGTGGCTGAAGCGCAATGTCGTTATCCGCGTGAAGAACAAAAATCAGAATCAACCCATATCCGTCAAGAACGCAAACCTGCGGTGGTGTAATGTTCTAATGCGCGCCCGTAGCACATACAGTACCAATTCTGCTAGTACCAAATCTCACGACGGAAACGACCAGGACATGAGGTTCCCCGCCAGCGACATAAACAAGCTTGATATTCAGCCTTAACAAACAGGAATATTGTTATGGTTTTCGGCTGCATGCATGCTGCGTCCGGTGGTACTGAAGGAACTATCGATCTGAAGGATGGTGACACGAAAATATGTACTCTCACTGGCTCTGCCCATGGGGGAAAGACCAACGATTTCCAACCCGCGACCTAGAAGAGGACGATTATATGGTGTAACCGTGAAAGCTTGAACCGGAAGAACGGTGCGTGAAAAGTGGATGTCATTGTTTCAAAATACCAGAAAGAGCACGAGCAAAAGAGGTGGCACGGTGGTGGCGCGATGCTTTACCTGAACTGACCAGACGCAAGAAAATCAAGTATAAGATATTCCACCGCTCCGAAAGCAAAAACATTCATTGCAACGCAGAGACTCGTTGGGGTCTTATTAATTAACGCTGGAAGGGACAGGCGCACCTGGAATGCTGGTACTTTATTACCGTCAGCGATCCTGTTATTCCGCGAGCCGCGAAGTAGTTTGTCGAACATGGTATGACCAATGGCATGCGCGTTATAGGTAACATTAATTCCCCTATCCTTGAAAGTTTAAGCAGAGTGTGTTAGAAGCTGTGTGGTGTAATAGCCTGTATATCGCTGGAGGCCAGGGGTCAGGTGAAAAACCATCCAATCCTGGTGTATGCACAATGCCGGGCTGAATATACTGTAAATCATAATGTTGTGAAAACCTTCGATGGGGTTCACGGCACCAGGGTACCGGGGAATAGAGCAGGAGAAGATACCAGCCACACGCACGGCTCCCGCTAAGGAGCGTATATATTCAACTAGATATATATCCAACGTCTCAACTAGATGCCACACCCCTGGTTCAACTGATAGGGGATTCGGCGATTGATAACGTTGTGCGCGTAGCCAAGGCCCAGGGAAGGAATCGGTCCGGAATACCATTTCTTCAACAGAGAAATTACCATCTGGCCCTTATGAGAGTGGCAACTCTCGAGACAAAGAAGAGCTGCATAACTCTAGGTGGGTTAGGGCAACGACGACGCCAGGTTCCAAACCTGCCAAAGCGTGTATGTTTCCGAGATGTCTCACCTTATCGGAACATTGTCAGATCCAGAGGTGGGTGTCGGAAGCATTGACCAGCAATCTGGCGACCGATGAGGCTACTAAGAATGTTGAAATGCCCGTTGATAAGGAAAACTCGCAACACAATCTGCTGATACTGGCCATGGTTCGGAACCAACGTCCACAAGGGTGCCTTTTCTCCCTATTTGATAATCTTATAAATAGCTCAATTTCCCAGAAAAAGCCAGATTGGTTGGCGGGAAAAACGATTTCAACCTTCTATAGCGCCATGCAGGAAGGAAGTGACATTGCCTCCAGCAAAACAGAAAAAGGCATTTTCTTCAAGATATCGCTTTTTCGACGTTGATCAACGCGCTGACTTTCTTGCTTGTCTTCGCCTTTATTTTTCTGCGTGCACCGTCTGTTCATTTGCAGGCAGTGCTCCCAGAGGGAAGCACGAGATTCTTTATCATCAACACACAACCAAATGAGTCATAGACTTATAGGCTATTCTTCAACACATCATCAAAACCATGTCTCATGTTGCCAAGCGAGCTTGACTCTTCCCCAGAGGCAGGCAGACTTCCTCATGCTTTTGATTAGGTGAAATTTCCTCTAGTGGTATTCGGCTTTGCAGCGTTGCCCGCTCAAATAAATAAACGTCACCCGACTACTTTTCGTCCCAGATCATATTTCCCGGGCATTGGATCACCATGAAGCACGCCCAGATTGTGGATTGCCTGTGGGACTTCTCAGTTAGTCGAACTACCTGATGGTAGATCGAGATCCTGCTGCCTTGCAGGGTCCTTCCGGTAACCCATAGAACGTTGGGATGAACAATCCTCAGTAATACCATTATAAAAGAATGCGCAGGAAGTTGTAGGCTACCAAATAGCACTGGTACGGATAAATTTGGATTGGAAAGAGACGTGAATACACGAGCTCCTCCAGTAAAGCGTACCAAAACTCAATGGTTTTAAAATAATCATCTTAGGTACAACCAGTACAGAAAATTGCGCATTATTAGCATAAAGGATAAGCTCTGAAAATCAGTTCAGCCTTTGGCTGGATACATTTAACCCTACCCAATTTGTTCTCACGCTTAAAAGTGCTGGGTGCAGATGTAGTGCTTTCCGAGCTCGTACGCTGTATCATCTATCTCACCCGCCAGTTAGACTTAGTTGTTGCCGTGCATTATCTGTTCCATTAGGCCCCTCCTCCTGCGTAGTTTCCATAAACAGCCTGCTCTGACAAGTCCTACAAAATACCAGAGGAAGAACGTTCACTACCTCAGGAGCCGGTGTGGCTATGGGTCGCCATTTCCCCAACCACAGCAGAATCGTGCAAAGGTAAAGGTCCCTTGAAAGACCAGATATCCGGCTAGCAGGAGCCATGTGCGGCCGACGTAACTATGTTATGCGCAAAAAGTATTTTTTTTACTTTGAGTTCATTTCTAATATACCGGCTTTGCACGCCGATTGTCGGGTTCGGACTTTAGTAAATATCCCCATCCAATGCCGCCATTGTGCACGTTTATATTAGCTGGGCATTAATACTACTATACCCGTTTATAAATATAATTGTATGTAAGTAAACATGTACTGTAAACTTAGTAGCTTAAAAACAAGCTTACAAGATTAAAACGAGATTTAAGCAGCCGCCAGCCTGAAAAAAGAGGAGCGAAAGTCACTGATACGTTTATATTATTATCACCCTGACTGCAAATGCCAAGGTAAAATAATCAGCATATTAGTAGATATATTTACTATAACATATTAATATACATACAGTATAGTATAAGGCATATCTTTTATTTTTCTTGCAAGCCTGTTTTTTGTTGCTCTTAGCTGCACACCCTAGTTACCTCCCAAACTGTATATATTTACAAAGGCTTTATATAACCTAAGTAAAATAATTTTAGTATATATCCCTATAAGGCTAACTATCTTACTAGGTTAAAAGCATATCCTATTAATATAAACAGTAATTATATAAACATCACCCGATTAATATTAACTATTTACTGCAGCAATATCCCATGCACAATCACAGAGTTCGTCTATCTCTATTACCAGATCCTATTTCCATTAGTTACTAGACGTAAAGGCCCATTCCCAGACCAAAGATAATTAATTAACTGTAATAGGCGTTCATTATTTCACATATAGTTATAACTATTCTATGTTAGCCGACATGTGTTCTGGTATATATATATATCAGTGATTTTTACTTAAAGAAGGATTTAGACGCCGCCGGCGTACAACTTAGAATGTCCAATTTAAATAAATTGCAGCTTATTAACTTAAAACACAGTGTATGGTGCACCAAAAGCATATAACTACCCATGACCACGGAGAGATGCTCGCTCGAGTTTTGCACTAAGAATGGGACGGAAAGCCAACAAACGGCTTGTAGGTGATAAGGCATTGAGACAAAACAATGAGAAATATTCCTGGCATTAACATTGAGGCTAATGAAGTCTATGCCTATTTTTAATCTACACGGATAGAGCACTGGGTAAGATCTATGATGTTGGGAATTATTTAGGATGTCTCAGTGGAAATTCTCGTGGTTTCTTGATGAATCCATAGGGTGAAGACCACTGGTCACAAAATGCCCTAAGATAGCCACCTTGTTTTCTATTCACTTTCACTTGCCGTGCACCTATCAAACACATCGAGTAAGCCAGACCAACCACTGCGTTTCGCGTGGGTCTAGTATCAACTTTAAAAGAGGATGTCGCAGGCGAAAAGGGAGATGGGGCTTTCGACCCTGGAATGAATTCAGGGACTGGGCGCTAAACTGCACGAGTTAAGACGTGGTGACGTACTCCAATCCCGGCCATTTTGAAGATCGGGAACAAGCCTTAGCGGGCACCACCGATCCCGGCTGACGTACCTTGCCGATCAGCCTGGGTTGCAAAATGCCGTGTCATCTTTTATCCGCGATGAGCTGCCTTGCATCCTTCGCCATCTATTCTGCCCCCTCTATCGACAATCGTCAGATCCGACCACCATGGGTTCGTCGCAGGATGATTCGAGAGCGGAACCGCTGCCAATGCCCTCAGCAATGTGCTTCATCCCGCGTTCTACATCATGTGTGCGTGCGTTTGGCACCTCGCCCGATCAGCGAAGCTAGAATCGGTATACCGAACTAAGGTCACTAGATTGTGGATTGGGCTGAGTTCGAGCGTCATCCAGTTTAATAAATGGGTTCTTGCGAGTGCCAAATTCGGTGAGAGAACGGTCTACATACTTAATCCCATGTATTGAACCAAGAACTAACTTCATGTTTAGATTTCCGTGAGTCCGCTCTAATGTTACTTGATTAAGCAACTGACCGTCCAGCGCTGTTCTTGACAACATGGGGCACATGGCTTTTCGCAACGGAATGACCTTGGTGTTCTGCCCATTTCACTTCCACGCTGGATCGCGACACAAGATCCTCATGACACCACTAATACATGTAGGTAGTATAGTTGGCAGGTCACATCCATTGCTGATGTGTGTATACCGAGTAGGAAAGCAATTGTACCAATTGGTCTCATGTTCAGTTTGAGTCGATTTAGGCAACCTGCCACCTCTATCTGGAGTGTATCATTCATTCAGATGCTCAAGGTCACGCCACGAAGTAAATAAAAAGTAACAAAACAGAAGCTAAGTCCCTCAGGCTACCAATGCTGTCGCCACTTTCTAGCAACATGGCATTCGGCATTGCACCGCCCAATCAGCACCCCTCGGCAAACGTCTTTTAATTGTTGTGGGTGTTGTGATCGCTTCCTTTGGTGAGAGAAGTTCGATGTTTTCGGGTTTCTCTCAGTACGACCCCTCCCCCCTTCTATGGAGATCAGACGCATGTTCTACATCTAACACACTGCAGTCCAAATCGGTGGAATCATCTTCGAGGCCCTACGTCTGGCTACATGGTCCAGCGCCTCAGCTCTGCCGAATTTTAAATGGACCCATTGGTATCAGTACTCACTTCGCGCCTGCGCCGTAGCCAATGGTCTAGTCATGTACTTCATGGAGCTCCCTCGACTAACCATGGTGATGATATAAATTTCCCGGCGTTGTCACAACATCGCAAACGCCCTGGTGGCTTCCTTCTCAACGTTGTACTCTTGGTAAGAATCACCCAAATCCTTTTTATAGACACACAGGAACCAATTAACTAACTCATCCGTTAGATCGGCAAAAACCTCCGCCGTCGTCCATAAATGGCAGGTATCCTCAACTCTTCCTTTCGTAGTAGCATCCATGGTCATATTCCCGCCGGACCCCGTCACCATGCAACAATTTTTCGTACTCGATTGCTCTGGCTGATTTTGTACTACGCTGGGTGCGGAGAAAATAAAAGTCGCTGACGACTGGACGTGCGGTTGCAGATGGTTGATTATCAACGGAATAACCCGGTCAAGAGCAAGTTGGTTGTTTTGGCCGCTGTTGCGTGCCGGTCTCTTTTGGTTTTGTGTGCTGCGAGCCCTGGGGTATTTCTGGGTTTGGTGCTATCAGTACTACCGCATAGGTAGTGTTTACCGACAATGGATCAGATGTAGGCATTCGCCATCAGGGCCTTATAATATAGATTCTGTCGCATCTATGTGCTAATACTTTAGGGATGAGCTAGAGAGCTGTACTAGAATAGAATTTTTTTTGGTTTATTATTATTTTTTCATCCTTCCAGATCGTACTTCATCATTCAACGCCTCTAACCTCCACACCTCGCCGATGGACGTCAACATCTCAAACCATAATGAACCACGTAGATACCCTCCTCCAGTCGAATATCATAATCAAGTAAGATCTTAGCCACCACAATCGAGCCCAAGTTGGCTGCGAGGAATTTGCGACAACACGACCGTCCGATCCCAAACGCGACATGTTTGGGACTAGTTGACGATAGAACTGCCGTATCGCTGCCCCTGCTCTCGCATTTCAAAAAATCTATATCCATCGTACCTTCCCAGGAGAGGGATACGTCTCTGTTCGACCAGGTGGTACATTCCACTGGTGACGCTGGTGCCGCAGGGAAGAACCATACCGTTCGGGAGAGAGTGACCTTATTAATAGTTTTGCGCTCAAGGTTCACTTTAGATAATTAGCCGTCACACATTTCAATAGACATAGGGAAAGAGGGAAAGAATCACCTAGAGCACCAGGTTTCAGCTGAGTCTCCTTGATGACACTATCAAGTAGCTTCATCTTGAACAATCCCGCTGTCGTCCATCCACTCTCCCTCGACCGCATTCATAATTTCCTCTCGTAGGGTCTGGACCTGAATGCATACATATATCCAAGATAGTTCGTTTTAATAAGCTCGTCGTAGTATGCAATGCACAACATTGCCATACCCAACTGGCAGCTACGTCGAAAGACCGACCTCTGGCTCCTCCATCCATTCGATACTATCGTCGAACTTTCAAACTGCAATTTCTCGGCATTTGCGGGCTTGTTTCATCGCTGCTCGGCTCTCCAAGACAGGGTGAGGATGTCATGGCTCGACGGACTGGTACCGTGTCATGGCATTCTGGTACTACCCAGTGGGATGACAGGACGAAGGGAAAGGGCCAGTGGCGAGCGCGCACGCTGTAGAAGAATGAGGGTAAAGAAGTTGACGATAATGTCTTGCCATTCTGCTGGTGAGATAGCTCAGGTCCGACGAAGATACATGATGATATGCGGGCGATGAAATGGACATGTCCTGGGGAAGTCTATGGGGTGCCAGCTGGGACAATATTAATAGAATAAAAATCGAGGTATATGGTTAGGCATACTATGCCCTTGTCCACGTCTTTTCAAGAATTTCCCGGATATATTGTCGCATAATCCGGCAATCTGTTAATTTTGGTGAAAACCCAGGTAGGTGTGAATGTTGAACATACGACTACTCTGATTCAACTTCGTCTTAACCACGTCAATGAGTATATGACTTTGACCATTGATGGCCCTATTCCATCCATCCCGGAATATTAACAAAATACTCCTATCATAATGAGCATGGACAACGCGCCTATATTCATCTCACTCACATCGCGAACAAGCTGAGATGGTCAAGATCCGACACCCTTCACCCATAAAGTCCAAGACTCGAAGTATAACTCGAGATCCAAGAGTGGTGATGATACGGAACGGGCCGTTGAACTGCATATCATTAGTCAGCCCCCGTAGTAATAGCAATAACTAGCATGTACCATACCTTTTTGCTCCCTCCTGAAGGAGGTTTTTCGCGTCTGAAAGAAATACTGCTCGCGCTTTTTCTTCCCGAAGTCCCCGTAGGCATTGATGGTTGGAAGGTTGGACGTTTGTAACCACTGCAGTGAGAGTGAATAGGACTAGTCCTAGTAGAACTGTGATCGCTCCGTAACCTTTTTATTAATCCCAAAGATGTGGTCTTGTGGGTGTTGTGTTCAGGGGTGTGTCAAAGAACAGATCCTTGGGAAGCCTGGGGGTCCATATTGTATTGCATAGTCTAAGGAACTAGGATAAGACGACCCAAAATTATTTTCTAAAATATTAAAATAAACGATTAGATCCAAATCATTTGGAATCCATTAAGTAATATGTATTCAACATTACAAGTCATAGGAATTTTAAATTTGCCCATTCTGTCTGGCAAGGGATGGATGCTCAACCGATATATCTTTTTCATTATTCATGATACTAAACCTGTTCGGGACCCTGGGCGGAGCACGAGAACCGTAAGGCAACCATGTGAAATTCTGTCTACGGAGTGAGAAAATAATAATAACAAAAAATAAGAATAAAAAACCACAGAAGGCTCAGGGTATTGCTAGAGTAATAGCCAAGTTGTAGTAGATTGGGTTATGCAGTTCAAATGCTGAAGACCAACATATAGCCCTGTACTTGACCTGCATAATTAGTCAGTGGTTTGGTCTTGTGAATTTGTAGGTTTAATTAGATTAAATGATAATAGCTGAACTAATGTTTTAGCTTTATCAGACTAGCTAAGTCCAATAAAATAAAAATAAATAAGCTTAGTCTCTATAACTAACCATTGACAACCAGTACCAAACAACTGATTGAATGATGCATGATCAGATGAACGAAACTACCACCCGCGAATAAAACCAACTCAGATGACACCCGCAGATGACTTCTAGAACCCATCTAATATATAAACAAGGCGAGATGACTCGGACAATACGCCCCCACCGCATAACCACCATACCCATCATGAAGCCGCCCTATATCGTAACACTTCTGTTTCCCTTTGTATCGACCTGCGCTCGATCACCGCCAAACAAGATGTATAAACCCCCTACCTGAACTCCGGATCTGACCAGCGCATCTGCTCCAGTGGTTCACGCAGCCAGACGGCTCTCGAGGGGCAGGGATGTCGAAAGACCCGAGCTGCCGCCAGACCTGAATGGCAGCTATATGCTCACCGCCTTGCCTCATGCTGTCTGCTGTCATGGAATTACCCACAGTGCTGTTCAGATGGGTTTACTGTTGCTGCGCGGGATTGATTTTTATTTCAAATAAGTAGTATTTATATAGCGGGCTGTTCATGCTTTTACATGGAGATAATATCCTCCGGTATGAACAACCCTCTCAGGATATCAAGCAGTCTAGATAAAGGAATCCAGTCCATTGTCTCCATATAGTCTTGCACCGCTATGTATATAAGACTCCTCGAACGTCCCGGGATGTCGATGTTCCTTCGTGGAAAGTCAGTACCCGGAAGAAAAAGTGAGGTATAATCGAAACATACCAAACTTCTATAGCGATATTTGACGCCATACCAGGCCACACGGCGTTTGCATCTTCAACGCACCAAAATAGGACCCACATCCCATCGCGAACAAAAAGTATGGGTTATACACCAGTTCACAATCCGCCGCCAAACTACCCTCCAGCTTCCGCACTATCTCACCGATGAACAGCCCTCTACAAGCTGGATATATCTGTCGCGTTGGCATTATATCGCCACCAGGTAACCGCATTCCCAGTCACCGGCACGGGAAGACCGCACGCATCGTCCATTGTTGCGCATCCAGAGCCGTCCAACCGACAGGGCAGCTCGTATCCATTACAAAGACGCCTGAAAAGTTATCGGCGAAGCAAAGGTGACATCCAGCTTGATGTATTGGCATCAAAGAGCACAGCGAGACGTGATTCCGCAGCGATCTGCGTCACAGACAGATGCCCCTTCCATTCCGGGACGATTGATCGTTGACAGCAGTGAACTCCGCGCAGCACAGGGAAAACCCACGATCGACCAAAATGATACCAGAGGCCTGCTGGATGTAGCGATAGAACCTTTATGGTGGGCCAGATCCCACGAAGGACTCCACCCGCGGAGCCTTCCGCGTTAATGGTGAGGAACTGGTGCGTAGCCAGATTTTGTCCGTGTGATGGTTCAGCGACGATGGGATCGCCCAGCTTGTCGCCGTGATTGCGCGAAGATCCCGACCGTGCTGATAGCCACCGGCGAAAAGCCCCCCGATGGTGAGTTGGGGTATTGGCGAAGGACCCGTTAACGCGTACCAGTTCAAGAATGATTGGTAGGGTCTGAGTAGGTCGCCCCAGAGATCCGCGAAAACACCACGAGCTGGAGCGGCGTACAGATGGTAATTTGTCGCAGCTGTGCGCCTGGTTCTGTGGCAGGTAATTAGGTGAATGTTTTGTCTAAGATATGGAGAAAATACCCTCGCCGCCAGTGGTGATATTGCACGGTGTGCGACGTTGGTGACGTCGCAGATACCCAGATAATTGCGACGCGCCGAGACGGAGTTGTTCGCGACCGGACTTGGCAGAGAGTAGGTTTCTGGTGCGTGGATGGGGCATGGAGCAGTAATTGCAGATATCGTCAGCGCGAGTGTGGGCTGGCGGATCCCCAGGCGCGGTGTAGATGCCACCACCATGTCCTTAGCGAGGTGTCGGTGATGTAGGTGGTGTGAAGCGAGGGGGATAAAGGCATCCCTGAAGCTTTTTGAGCTGGCCCGAGGCCAAAAGGCAAGAAAGAGAAAAAACATGTCCACCAAGCCCCGATAGATGGAAGACATGGCAGATGTCCCTGTTTTATCTGGATATCATCCTCTGACTGCCTACCGGAGAGTTTTGTCGATTGCAAGGAGGCGATGACTGGGGACACTAGTCCGGGATCACTCGACGCGACAAGCCGTCCCACGGGTTGCCAAACAGACGCGATATCTGAAGCAGGCGCTGAGTTCATCCACACTGCATATTATTATTAGCACAAAGATCCATGATAAATTAGTATCCATCTGAATCACACCGCATGGTATGTCCATGTGGAAATACCTACCAATCCCCGCATATCCTCGCCGATGCGGTCAACGTCCGGAATTGGATGCCCCGGATTCATTTCATTCTATAGTTAGTAGTAAGTTCACAGAAAACCCAGAAAATTGCCTAAAAAGAGCAACTAGACTATATATATGGAAAGTTTATAATAGTAGATGTCAAGACAAGACCATTCAACCAACTGAAACAAGGCTCCTAGTGTTTACATTAGATAGTCATATAGGAAGCTTCAATAAAATGTACATAGTTTTAAAAGCACAAGCTTGTCTAAGTTATCTCTTGAAGCATTGGTAGGAGCTGTCACCGTATAATGCCTTCAGCATCTGAATACTTGACAGCCATAATTAGACCAAATACAAAATTAGTTAATACAGATCTGTTGGTGCTTTTTGACAAATGTTGTTATGCCAAAATCTCCCAAAGTTTCTTTTTACCCGACCATCCCTGCCATGCTGGGATTTAATACATGAGAACAATCCTCGTCTGTTGATTGCTGTCCATATCCAATGTTAGAGCATCTTTCTGAGAGTTGATTGAGCGGACTCAGGTACACTTATCGGTTTTGGAATCAATGAGGATTGTGTCAAGATACTTAATCGAGATGTGGTTTGACTTTTGCTGTCGACAACTTGTGGAATGTTTTTCTACTCAAGAATGCTATTGTTCCTCCAAAGCAGGTCAAAGTATTCTTTGGTTCGTTTTAATAATTTCGTCGAGATCACGCCGGTTCCATTTATATGACGGAACGAATTCGACAAAACATAGTCGGCCGTCCAATATTGCGAGGAATGGAAAATTCATCAGGGCACCTTGTGTGTGGACCTATATTCTAAAGAGTCCGGAGCTGATAGACCAAAAACCGCCCATACGGGAGGCCAACACCACACAGTAGAGAAAAAGTTGTACAGAACAGTGTGGGATACTGCACTCTGAGCTAAAAGGAATTTGATAATTAGAACGGTCTCAGCCTCATAATATGAGATATATTCTCTAGTTCGATAAACCCATCTGATGCCATGGGTGATTGAATAGGCTGCATCCCAAGAGAATATGCCAAAAGTCACCATTTCGCGGAAGGATACTGTATTGCACGATAATTTTCAGATGATGCTGCAGGCAACATCATAGATTCTGGTGCCAGGACAATTTGATACTAGCAACCTAGTCATGTAATTGTTAAGGAAGGAACCCAGAATGAAAGGCATACCAAATAAATTCCAAAAGTGATCAAGGCCACCACCAGCCACTGGAATTGGCTGAAAAGATGTATTGCTTAATGCGGAGGTGTATTCCGGATTGAATCATCATATAAATAAGATAACAAATGGTGAGTAAGCAAGAGGTTACAGGCGTGGGCAGGAAGGATCTGCTAGAGCAGGTAGAGCAATTTATGGGCGGAAAAGGAAGCTGAATGTAAATAATAGAGAATAAATGAATGGAATGGCCAGGTGAATTGGGAATCGGCCAAATTGGAATTTATAAATGGATAAATGGAACAAGGAATGGAATATTCAGAAGCAATAGCATGGCCCCTGATGAATTACATCTCTAGTTATGGAATGGAAACCAAAGGAAGCTCTATAACAATCATCCATTGGTAGATTAATGGGTGATTTGACATGCATCAAGCTCAGGAGCACGACTTGTTCAGCATAGTGGGAGGTCTGGGATTGACTGTGCAGGAAATTCTCGCCCAACCCTCTGAGATATTGAGTATATATATTTCACATAATGTCCTGATCGATGGATTCTGAAAGACTCTGTATGCAATGGCAGCGAATCACTACTATTTTTTATATTAACCCTTCTTTTCTTTCAGGTGGATTCGGCTATGGACGCTTTCAATAATATCAACATGCCTAGTCGTTTCTAAAAATTAGAAAAAAAAGATAGATATCTTAAATAACAAAGAGCTGGATTGTGGAGATAAGGCACAACACAGATTAATTGATTACAATCCCCCTCATAGCCAATCATTTTATTCGGCCTCTGGTTCCCCCACTGCAACTCTAATTCTGACAGGTCTACTTGCATTCCCACATCGTATCTGGACACATGACCACGCAGCCTGTTCAGGAATTAAAACCTGGAGAGTGCATTCCATTCTAGTCCCTCAACAGCACATATGTCTATTCAAATGGCTTTCGCCCATCTTCCAGCCTCACCTCCGAAACGTTCCAGCCAGTGCCCTGGAGTCGGGCCTGGTCATCGCAGAGCAGTGCATCGAAGCACGAAAGGAGTTTTGTATTGTTCCTGACAGTCTACCCTATTGAGATATGGAAACAGGTTCGACCAGAGTGCCCCACTATCGTCTAACACGCCAGCTTGAATAATAATGCACAGGAAACACCTCGAAGTAAAGGAAAGGACTTGTAGCATCTGAAAAATCGTCGTAGGCGGTGAATTCCCCTTTTTCTTTCGGTGAAGACAATATTACCAGTAGCTAACACCAGATAGGGGGCTATGCTTGAGTCTCATCCCATGGAGGGACATTGTGTCGATGTCGTCTGCTGGGTAGTATGCTCATTTATACCGGACGGCAGCTTGAAGATGTCCAGGAGATGATGATGAGTGATGTATATACAACAAGTGGTGTTTGGGATGTTGAGAAAGCCCAGATTATTCCGGTGTGTTCTCGAGAATTTACAAAGTCTGATTGTCGTTTAATGCTAACGGTAATTGTTTGCTTCTGCTATTCGCGAAGCACTTTCGTGATTCTTCTGATGGCTCTGAGTTTTCTAAGCATTTGATAGTATTAGTGCTTGTGCTGGATCCCTACTGCATTTGTCCATTTGTCCGACTGAATCCAAGTAAAAACGGTGGAGAAGCAGCCCATGCAATGAACCCATCCTACAGTCCATGAACTGGAAGAATATAATTAAATAATTCAGGGAATCATCTTGAGATCGCATTGCATAGTATCGTATAAATCGATGGCTATTAACTCAATTATCAGGTGGTGGACCCTGAGCCTGGTCATGGAACCGACAAAAGTCCCATAAATGCGCTGCCGAACAGAATTAAACTCCGCAATCACGATCCGCCAATGTTTATTGTTGGGGTTTCGTCCTGACTGGGCAGAGGCAAGGATACGTATCGGAATCTGAAAGAAACGGGAGAATGTGTCCCTCAACACGGTTTCGAGAACATGATCGTGGCTGTGAATGGCGTCGATCGATGCGCCGTATGGGTGTCGGAATGGGACATATTAGGCCTTTATAAGGCGCCCACCACGACCGTCAAACCAGCCAGGGTCCAGGATCTGTGTTCTCGATCGAGGGCAAAGTGGTCGACACATCAAGGAATTCACCGATCGCGTACAACCCGGCATGAGTATTGTTTCGTTGGTGCTTATCAAGGGAACTTGGTTTTGGGTTCAGGAGGACGCGATCAAAAGGGAGGGTAGGCCATTGATCTTGACAAGCTGCGTCCCTTTGGGGGTCAGCTTGAGGATGTCATACGGTCGCATCACGCGTCGACATTTGAGTTTACCCCGGAAAACAATGGCAGATGAACAAGCGAATAAAGTGAGCTCTGACCTCGGTTGGATGGGTCGAGAATGAATAGATGATGTCTGCTTGTGGTGTGAATAATTTTTTTTTTTTTTTTTTTTACATCTCGCATTAGCCGCTACATATTTGGCATTGGGTGCGGTATTTGTGATATGGAATAGACCCGGATATATTGTTTTAGAGTTGCACATTATTTTTCTTTTATGTATCTTTAAGGACTATGGAATATACTGTAGGTTATTCTCGGTCGCAATAAGGTAAAAATAAAGTAAGACGCCCGTCCAAAAAAAAAATTAAAAATTAAAAATAAAATGAAATGAAAACAAAAGATGGACAATTGGTTTCTAGTTATGTGGTAGGGATGGCGATCATCTCGGCGTACTCCGATACTGAACTTTCAAATACCTGATTGATTGCATAGTAAAACAATAGCGCTTTTATTAGGCCATATCAATGGTTGTTGGGCATCTTTTTCCAGACAGATCTTTTTCCTGCCTCCTATATGTTATTTAACTGCGCCCGATGTAGCCCCAACCCCAGTTTTATGGCGTGATGTCGTTGGAAGGGCGCGCAGCATGACGCATAAATAGCACCCAATGAGATACACTTAAATTCCTTATCTAGCTTGTATCTCTTTTCTTTTCCATCTTGAAGAAAGCATTCGATCAAACTATCATTCCACGGTTGAAGTGGGTAGATGCTGGACCATCCCAAGAATTGAATGAGAGCCCCCGTCGAGGCTCATGATCTCCCAGAACACCCGCACAAAGCTCCGCTACCGCTATCCTAGTCGCAATCTGCTGTACAGCACCCCAGTCCGAGCCACCGCGGCCCAAGGACTCCCTCTAGCCATCGTTTGGGTCGAAATCTGATCAAACTATCATTGCAGTCGCAACGATATCCGCCTTCCCATCCGCCTCGGGCTGCCATTACTTCGCCGGTGGTGCGTATTTGCTGCAACACCGCAGCGGTCCATGAGGGCGAAATGCAGATATTTGGGGTCGCAAGTCATTCATCACTGCATCGCCGCGAGCGCGATGAAGCATGGCGATCATCACTGCGCGAGCTGGCAGGGCAGCACGGCGAAGTGCCCAGTACAGATGGTGACGATTGGCAATCTCGGACGTTTCAGTATGCGCAAACGAGCATTGTTTCTCGGCTTTCATTACGGCGTGATGTGGGCAGCTGCGGTCGACTGGACCACTAATTGGGGTGCATTCACACAGGCGTCAGCTGGCGGTGGTGTTTCTGGATTAATCTGCCAGTCTCAGGATTTGCTCTTTAATTTTTCTTGACGTGCATAACCCTCGCACGAAGCCAAGCGATGGAGTTAAAGCCGTGGGACTGGTTTGGCATCGTTCTCCATTTCGGTGTTACCCTTCTCCTTTCTCGGATTAGACTTCGGCGGCAATATTCCCCGGGAACAGTCCGAAGGTTATTCATTGATTGTGGTTGGAACACCTCATGATCGCGTTCTTCCTCTTCAGTGAAAAACGCCCAGCCAAGTATCCCCTGATGCTACTCGGTTTGTTCAAGAACTGGTCCACACCGGCGGCCTTTTGGCTGTATCGGCGGCACAGCATGGTTCCATGGGCGTGAAGTATTACTCCCGCTGTACTTCAAAGTGTGAAGCAAGCCTCGCCTCTAGGAAGTGGCAGGTATTCTAACTTACTAACTATGGTCATAGAAGCGACCATGGATATCATAGTTGGTATTCTCCGCCGACAGGTCGATACAAGGAGATCATCTGGCTGGTTATAATCATGAGGATGGGGAATGGACTATTCATCAGCCTCCAAACTGACACACCCATAGCCAGTATTATCGGTTCCAAATCGCCAGCGGTATCGGCATTGCATTTTTATTCCAGTTACCCATGATCGCGGTTCAAAACACCGGTTAGCCAGGCAGACACGGCAACAGCAACGGCGACATTGGGTTTCTTCCGGAACCTAGCCACATCATTGTCCATTGTACTGGGTGGTGAAGTATTCCAGAAAAGCATGACAACACGACCAGTCCTCCCCTGACTGACGCAGGTGTCAGCGAACCCGTCCGCCAGGCCTTATCCGGTGGCGCGGCAAGCAGCGGACATGTGGACATCGGTACCATTCCAGCAGCGCCATGCAGTGCAGGACGCTTTGCATGGAGTATCAGAATATGCTTATTATGTATACCTGCATCGCGGGATTGCGATGATAGCGAGCGCTTTATGAAGCAACCGGAAGCTGGAGGACCGAATACAACAGAGACGAAAAACGGAGCCCAGCAGCTGACGAAGCAGGGAGACTACAAATGAGACTGGAAGATTGGGAATAATCGTTGACTATAAGAATACGGAATTATACCTGTACTTTAGCCGGAAAGCGTCTGCATACCATGGAGTCTAGGACTCCACTGGCTGGATGATCGCAGAACGCGTGTCTTGGCGCAGTGCAGTCCACATTTTTTTTTTTTTTTTTTTTTTTAGATCCATTAACTATGGGCTGCATAGTTTAGTCAGGGTCTGCTTTAATTTGTCTTTATAGGTCTTGCGTAACATTGTTGTGTTAGAATCCCACAGCTAGTGCATTACAGGGGATGATGCACTGCCCTAAGCACTCCTATAATTACTATCTAGTTTTGGAAACGAAATGAAGCTTAAGTGACACATGAATGGCAGGAAATAGCTCAGAAGCTTGGACTTAATTTTACCCAGGGCCTCTGGAGCGTCTTTTTACATTTTTATGTCTCCATTTCTATCCCGATTTAGCGGCTTACAACTTTACACTCGGCCATAAACTAAGCCCCAATATAACACATAATAATACTTTAGAGACTTGCCAGTGTAATCCGTTGGTGGTAACACTGCCTCGATCAGGTCAGGCGCATCACTGAGTGAGCCTGGAGCAGGCCTGAGCGCGCAGTCTGCTCACTGAGTGGGCAGTGAGCGTCTCACGGAGCAGCCTGAGCCACCACCCCACCCAGCGCCACCCTCTCAGTCCCACTTCCGCCGCTTTGAGATTTCTATAAGAATCCTGCCCCTCTCCCGACCAGTTCAACACACTTCTCCTTCCCAAACGTCCCCTCCACCTCCTGGTGAGTTTCACTCACGTCCGCAGCTGCTGCTCTAACACTGCACCCTTCAGAAAGGCAGACCGATGACCGCCGCAGAAATGACGCCCTTGAGGCGATGTCACCATGGCTGTCTGTACGAGTCACTATTTGTCCTCACACGTACTAGCCCCATCTTACCACGCACTTTTGCACGGTTTCCTTTCACATTTTGTCCCATTCTGCCGCTTCCACAAAGGTCCAGACCTTTGGCCACAATGAACGAAGTTTTGATTTTGCGCCTCCCCTCGTGATCGACCCTCAGGCTAACCTCTCGGCATTGCTGTGTTTTGATGGTAATCGCCTGACACAGCCCATCACGCGCGTTCCTGGACGTCAGGGATAATCGGCGTTTGACTGATTCCGTATGGGAGATGTTATTACCCTTTCTTACATTTCCTTTTCAGAAGAAAAAGGAGGGAGAAAGGGGTCTACAAGTATGGTTTACCGATCATTTTGGGACTCTGGGCAGTGCCCCACAATCGTGACTGGCAAGTCTTTGCCATGTTAAAACGGATATCGACTGGTCCGGCCGCACCAGTTTTCGCGTCATCCTCATCGAGCCCGTTTGACTCGTAAACAGTTATGCAGTTAGCTGTAGGGTATTGCCGCCTCAGCATAATATATACGTCGGGGAGTGATGTCTCTGCAGGCTAAAAGAAACCCTTTCATTTGATGCATTACCAGTGGGGTTACAGTCAATGACTGGTTAGGAACAGCCGACATTTGTATTATCACCGCTGGTATCGAGCGAGTTGTACATATAACATCTTGACATTGACTGCGCTAAGCCGGTGACAATGTTATCGTTCTTAAAACGGTGCGAACAGAGCCCACTAACACTGGCATAATTGGGAACCCGATTCTGTACAAGTTGGCGCCCCGCCAGAGTCAATCTCTTCGTCAGATCGGTCAGTCAAGTCCTCAACCGGCTCCCTCACCTGGCCTACGGCAACAGGCAATAAAGTGGCATTTCCAGAGTCGATCATTTCTAGAAAACACTCTATGCCACTCTCCAGCTCATCTCCCAACGTTGGCCACTACCTTGTCGCAATATAGGGCTTCTGCTGGTGCTGCTGTACACCCCAACCGCCAAGACAGAAAACAGCAGGAGTTTAATAAGTTGGTATAGTTCCATTTTCCACGAGTTGGCGGAACTGCTCTGAAGCCCGAAGGGCCGTTTCGATGCCATCTTCTAAGCAGTCGATCTTCAACCTCCTCGGCATGTATTGTTCAAAATCTCAGCCAAAAGTCTGATTGTGATAATCACAGACCCAAACCCCTTTAACTAATAGTTTTCACAACTGGTTGACCCTGTTAGTGGCATTAAGTTGCTGTGGCCTCGAACTGAACCAAGTCGACGTCCTAGGTCCTGTCTCTCCAGTGTCACTTAATATCTGCCGAAATAACATGGCACTTTTCTTACCTTGCGTTAATTTTACCCTCTAAACACTTCAGATTAATTATTATTATGCAAAGATCTGGTGGGCTTCTACAGGAGAGCAAATGCGATTCAAGGTCTTTATAACCCAAGGTTTGTGGTACTTTTTCTTTGTATATGAGGCATTTTAGACCATAGGCAGGTAATATTATTACGCGTCATCCATTAAAGGCTATGCCTAAGATTACCTTCATATCATCCAAAGGAATTACATATATAATAGCACTTTTATAGAGCCTAATATCTTTAACATGTCAATAGGCCTAAATCTATCATATAATAATACACATATATATATATATGCTTCCTGATCCTTGTAGATTTCCAGTTCATTATATTTTGTCAGGGTGAACCCGCAGAACCTATGGGATAGGTTATGTACAAAAAGGAATCGTTGAAGAAGGGAAGAAAGGAAGAGGAAGCATGAGGGTAAACAAACAACGTTGAAAATCACGTGATCCATCCAGGCCGATGGCCCAAAGGCTCAAAAGCGGACAGTAGGACAGCAGGGACAAGGATAATAGGATATTGGCCCGAGGAGGTCAAAATGCTCCAGCCCGTTACAATGTCAAAAAAATACATTTAAATACAGTGGCATTTAAAATAATCTTGTATTATATGTCTATAAAAATCTTAAAATTGTGATAAATCTAATTTGGCCGGGTAGATCAACCAACAGGTCAGCTAGGTAAGATAGTAGAAGGAAATATCAATATATCTTATGCCAAGATATATTAAAATCCACCTTTTGATCTCTTCTTCGAATAGATCAAGATAATATATAGAACGCCCACAGATAAGGTAACGATACAGTCCATGAGATCATGACAATAAGATCAACGCGTCATTAAGATTACCATAGCTTTTATGTCACTCGGCTTATCGATAAGGATTCAGATGAGCCCGGCTGATTCTCGGTCTATCCTTCACAAAAATTCTAATTAAATTTTATTAGCATTCTAAAATATTCATATCAAGGAATATTTCTATTTTTATTATACTCTATGTTGTTAAAATATTAATGTAAAGGGAGTTTCTTTGACCTCTCAATTTACCCTGTTGTCCCTTATGGTCTCCAGATCCCTGTGGGGCCTCTTTTGGCCTTGCAACCTTTGGCCCCGAGGACCCATATCACGATTTTTCTATTTCCACTTTCTTCCTTGATTCCTTTTGTACATAGCCTATCTTATGAGTTCTACGGGTTCAGCCCCCGACAATTAAGGTCATAAAAGTGCTAATTTATACGCAGACAGAGGCGGGGAAGGCTCGGCGGTCTGCGCAGCCTGGTGGTTGGTCACGTTAAAAGGACGTAGTTACGTAAAAAAAATAAAATAAAAATCTTTCTAGACCCACAAGTCCAGGAACGGAGGTAAATGCCAATGTGTCATGCCAAGGACCACCGCTATCAATTTACTGGGTTCAGCAAGTACACACAGGAAAAGCAGATACTGGCAACAGCTTAGGCGTTGATTGAATGTAAATAAGTCATGCGAGAGTAATAAAATAATGAAGGAACCTATTGGTATTCATATAACTCTGCTGATATGGAGGATCGAATTGGTCTCCTGGAGGATGTTATGCGTGGGGGTCGGTAACGAGCTGAATGGGGCGCCACGGTGCGAAAGGGAGGGCTCCATAGGAGAGAAGATAGAGCCACGTATATTGCAGAACACACCGCTGCGCCTTCAAGAGTTCGAGGCCCGCGGGTGCGAATAACATAAACACTTCGCACCTGACTCAAGCATCTTGAAGCTAAGGATCCAGCTATCGCGGCTTCGAGCGCGGCTCCTAACACTATTATCTTCCTTCCAAGAGGCTTTTCGCCCTCGAAGCCTTAAAGACTGTAGTATGAATATATGCGTTATGATGGGTAATGTGTTATAGATTCCAATCCCTTGAGTCCTTCCCATAATGGTTTGTGCGGGGTTGATCGATGCTTGCGTATGATGTCTTGAGCTTGGGTGAGTGTAGGTGTAGCTTTCGCAGGTAGTCGCTCCATGGCAACAGTTCTGCTTCATTCACTGCAGTTTTTCGCCCGTTTGAGCTTAGCTCGCTGTTGACGAGCTTTTGCTTCCCTCTCTCTCTTCTCTTTCTCCTCTTCTCTTCTCAACCACCAAACTTCTTTGCGGTAATGTGCGCACTTCTGCCTCAGCTAATATGGGGTAACGGCTCTCCAGCGCTTTCGCATGTTTTGAGCTTACTAATAGGTGTTTTCGCAGATGGTCGCCGCAAAGCTTCGTCGCCCATCGGAGAATCGTCCCCACGACGCCGTCGCTCTCCGTGGAGTTCGTCCTCGTTCATCCTCTGAAGACGATAAGTACGTTTCACACCTGCGCCCCCGCCTGCCTCTGCCGGAATGGGAGGGATTTCCATCCTTCTCCTGCTTTCGGGAGCCGACGGAGTCGACTGCCCTCCCGGACGGTCTGGTCCGGTGCGTTTATGTAAGGTATTGCTAATTTGTGCGAAAATCGCCCCTTTATTCCATCGGCGGTTTCTGGTCGTCCAGGTGCAGACTACCCCTCGTACGGTCCATGTTGATATACGAATGGTTTGCCTTGGCCCAGGGGTAGTCCCTGGTACACCGTTGCCTTGGTTCGTTTGAGCGAGATGCTGTTTGTTTTCTTGCCAGTCGTTTAAACTGTGTTTATTGTACTGGCCAGCGACACCCTTGTGTCGCTCGAGGGTTTGCCGCAACTGGTCCTTTGTTTTTTATGGTTACCGAACATCGCATCGTTTGAGCTGGGATTAGTTTACCGTCGTTCTGCTGCGCAGGAGAGGGCGGCTGGGCTGGTATGGGAGGATAGACGCGGGTTCGAAAACCCTCGAATACCGCGCGGATAGCAGCACCAGTAACGCACTCCATCGCATCTGCCCATGGCCTGTTCCTGCGACTCCCCAGTCGCCTGGCCGTTTTGTTGATGCGGTCCTTTCCTTCAAGGCTGAGAGTTGCTTTGGGGGGAGGTCGGTGTTATTGGGCCGTTGCGCCATCTTTTCCTAGTTAAATAGAATGCCATTTTCCTTTGAGCTACGTAGCGCGTACGTCGCCGGGTAACAGGTGCTGTATTATGGCAATGTCCACAGGGCTTCAGTGTCTTCGACGTGCGATCTTGTTCCCAGGTATCAGTCATCAGGTGGATAAGCCCTTCCATCGCACCAAATAGCTTATGTTACCACTCTTTTCCAAGCTTCTTTTCCTCCAGAATTTGATCAACTTCCCACCCTCGCCAGCACACTGGTATTGGCGGGGTCGGCCCATTGACCCGGTCGTTCATGGGCATGGCTCCAAATAAAGACACGTGGAAAACGGGATGCAGACGGCGATATTTTAAGTGGTAGCTGAAGTTTTGTAATGATTGGTTTCCATGCATCAATAATGGAAAATGGGCCTAGCTGGCGGTGGTTCCACTTCGCATTAGGTCGTAATTGTAGAGACATTCTTCGCCCGTAGCATGACTTGATCACCAATCTTGAATTGTCTGTCGATCCGACGCTATTATATTGTTCTTGCCATGGCTTTTTGCGCCTTTTCAATCCCATCCAAGGATCGCTTTTCCTTGAGCTGTGCTGCGCGTTCAACGCTGCTGGCGTACGGCCAGTGGGATCAGGATCGACATTGATTCAGGGACGAAGCCCATCAATGCTCTTCATGGCTGTTTGTCTTTGTGGATGAATGAATCGCAGCATTATGTAACTTGTGCCATTGGCAGCCAGTCAACCCAATCATCTTGCAAGAAACTCGCATAGGCTCGCAGGTAATACTCTAATGTTTGGTTTGGCGTTCTGTTCGACCACATCTGTCTGCGGATGAAACGCAGACACAGTTTCCGCTTCGATCCTAGGCACAGTGTCGACCAGCAGCTGTTTCGGTAAACAGCGAAACACCCATCGCTTTTGATTACCAAACATGGGTACCTCCACCTTTTGATAAAACCGCCGTGCGAGTTCTGGTGCCGAGATATCCTTGGGTAAAGGAATATAAAGCGCGAACTTTGTTAGGGCATCCACAACCACCAATATCGCATCATAACCCCTGCGCCCCCTGGGCTGGCAGATATACTTTGTGAACTGGGCGGTAGTCCAGTGCACAAAAATCAAGAGTCAGCACTTCCCCAGGCTGCTCTGGCACCGGCAAAGGCTCCAGCTTGCCATAAGGTGCGTGTTCGCACTTGAATTCTTTGACAAATATCGCGTGGTTTTCACATATCCAGCACATCGCCACGCATACCATGCCAATAGTATTTTATGTTCGACGGCTTCAAGGTGCGTTTTCTCTAAAATGTCCTCCCCAGAGGATCATCATGATTTGTTTTCATACTTTCATGTTTACCGCAGGAATTGGGTACATATTTGCTAACCTTGGTACCCTGAGTAGGCCATTTTCGCCAATTCCCTGGCAGGCCGACTGCCATAACCCCCAAGCTATGATCAATCCTTTTGCTTAATATCGCGTACGATTCCTCCTTGGTGCACAAATAGTCCACCACACCCTCAATGCTGGAGGTATGATTGGATCCAATAACCTTTGGATATAGATCCGTGGCACCTAGGTGTCTAGAATTTGGTAACGCCGGCAGCACAGTCCTCATCCACGGTGCGTTCTATCCACGGCATGCATACTCCCATGGAGATATGCGCATCAGAGCCATTTGATTTAATGTTTGGACCCGCCTCGGTGTCCAGCGCCATTATTCCCGCCCATGCGGCTTTTAACTCATTGGTGTCAATGAATGACTTTGCCCATGGCCAATTTTCAACTTTGATCGCAATGTGGAAGCTGGTGCATCACTTACTTCATTTTCCATCCGCGCCTCCGGCAGATAATCTGCCTTCTACTTGGCGCATCTGCAGGTTCTTTACCCCCAGGTCGGTGCGCTCAATATGAAATCGAACGCGCTCAGCAACTCTGACCCATCTCGCCTGACGTCCATTAAGCCGCTCAATGGGCCGCATGAAACCGCTTAGGTTGGCATGGTCAGACTTTCACCACTATTAGTGCCCCGCTCCTTTCGAGGTAAATGTCGCCAAACTTTGAATGATCGCTTCAATGATTTTGGTCATGCGTATCATACCTTGCGTTCGAATCGGTCATCTTTCGTGAGAAAATGCCACAGGATTTCACCGTTATCATCCTGTGTAATTGGGAGATTATCGCACTTATAAGCAAAACCGTTACGCATTCCCTACCCTGGTCCTATTCCAGGGTCATAATGATAGCAATGGTGCGCCTGAAAACGCACTTTTAGTTTATTAAACGCAACTTTGCGTCCTCAGGGCAGCCTGGGCGCGCTGCTCAAGAACCACGTTTTTCCTCCCCTTGCTCGCGATAAGGGTATGGCAATGCAATGGGAATAACCTCAATAAAAACGCCTGTAAAATTTGGTAAAATCCCCAGGAATATGATCTCTCGCACGGTTGTTGGCCCGGCCAAGCCCCGATGGTAGCCACGTTTCCTTCTCCATCTGAATGCCCGGCGTGATGATAAATCCCAGGTATTCCACACTTTTCACATGAAATGAAAGATTTGCCTCAGCTCTGCGTGAGAATCGAACTGTCGCAGTCTCCAAACTGCGGTAACATGTCAATGTTCCTCCTCACCTTGCGAGTATATAAGAATGTCATCCAGATAAAACAAATACAGCAATGGTCCGGTAGGTTGCTTAATGCGCGATTAATATAGGACTGAACGTAGAAGGGCGTTGGCTAGCCCGAATGGCATGACAGTGTATTCGCTTAATTATATCTTGCAAAAGAAATGCAGTTTTCCATTCATCCCCCTTTTAATAATCCGGATGCGGTGATATGCGTCTCAGGTCAAGTTTGCATATATCTTTAGCGGCCAGCCAAGCGATCCATAGCGTCCCGCCAACAAGCGGTAAGGGGTAACGATTTTTGACAGTAATCTCGTTCAAACCAAGGTAATCCACACAGAGTCGCAGTGTTCCGTCGGACTTCGGTACAAAGATAAAGGTGCGCCAGCTGGCTTTTCGAGGGACGAATCCATCCCTTTCTAGCGCTGCTTCCAATATATCTGCGCAGAACCGCGAGCCCACTTTCTCGGACAAGGTAAATTGGTCGGTATGGGGGTTCCTTTCCCGGTTGTATATCAATTCGGTATGGTCGGTCTGCAGGTAGAATCCCTGCATTTTCCTCCGAGGAAAGACATCTTCGAACTCCTTTGTAGATTGCGGGTATTCGCACTTTCGCCGATTGTCGCAGAACCCGCAACGGATTTTGACCTATATTTTTGGTTGTGGATACGTACGCTGCGTGTAGACTTGAGCTTTTCCCTCTCTTGAAGTGCGTGATTCACCTCTGCTTTTCTGCTGATTATTCGGACTTCTTTTCCGGAGGTATTTTCCGGTATCTCTATGTTCCAGTTCCCAGTCGACGTTTGCCTCGCCTCTCTCAACCAAGGGGTATCCCAGAATCGCATCATAATGGTCCATAATAACCACATTATCGAATGTTCTTTCAATCGTTCTACGAACACCGTGGCAAAATCTTGGTGGCCCTGTTCGGCGTTCGTAGCAACGGATGCGGTGACCATCTTGAATAATTATCCCTCCGCGGGCTGGCCTATTGCAGGCTCCGGAGGTGCATCTGCGAACCTTTCGGCTGATAAGAAGCGGGCTTGACACCTCGAGAGTCGATTAACGGCCAAGTTGGAATAGTGCGCTCTGTGCTTGCAGCTCAACCATAGTCTCAATGGCATTATCTTTTGATTTTTTCCAGGCCCAGAGCCGCAGCTGCTCGCATCACTGGGCCACCTAGTTTTTTGCCTGGTTGTCGTCCTTCGCACGTTTGGGACATTGAGGCGCACATGTCCCTTTCTCCGCAGACATAGCATTCCATATCGGGTTGGGCGGGATCGCTGTCGCTTATGACCTTGGGATTCCATTGTGCTTCTAAAGGCGCGATTGTTGCCCTCTCCATGGTGGCTTGTTCTGGGCCCTGCTGACTGGAAGGCTTGTTGTCTTTCCAGGTTGCCTGGGGTCGTCGTCCGTGTCGCATAGCTAAGCTGTGTTGGTTTCCTATTCTTCGCTTGCGATATTTTCCTTGCGTCGACCCGGTATGAATCTCAATTGTTTGAGGTGGGCGATATAGCCTTCATATCTCTCGTCTGTTGGGGTAAGCGCTTCCATGTCGCAGGTCTTGCTTGACTCTTGTCCGGAGGTGATTTTCTGCTGGATTTTCTGTGTATGCTTGGGAGCCGAAACTTCCCATTGGTTAAGGTAAGCTGCGAATTCGCACGTTTTTTGGTGATCCCGTTGTTCAAGCGTCATGGTGAAGTGTTGGCTCGCATCTCTTATGGGTTAACAGGTCGTTTAATTGGCGTAGTAGAAATTTTAGAAAGTCCTCCCAGGTTTATCGGCGACTTCCTCCTCGTGGTTACATAGGCGGATAAAATGTTGCGGCATAGATGTGTTGCACCTTCCACCAATTTCGCCGTATCATTAGTAAAGTAGTGATTTCGTTCGGAAATGGGTTTCCATGCGTGCGATAAACGTCTGATATTCCTGTTGCCTTTTTCCATGTATTCGAGACATGTGCTGGGGTGCTGGCGGTTTCAATGCGCGTGGGGCTCGGCAGCATAGGCTGGGTGCGGTCTTCAGGTATTCCATGGTCGGGTGCTTATATTGGATTCCGGCCGAAATTATTGCACTTCGGTTTCTTGGATGTTTCATAATCGATAAGCTCTTGTAATGCCCTCCTTATTTTCCATGCGCACTTCTTGAGTTCCTGCTTTTGTTGGCGTATTCATCCCGGAGTTCGGCAAATTCATTATCCGATGAAGAATCGTTTGTTGTTGTGGGACCAGGCCTTTTTCAGGGCTACGTCGCAACACAGCTTGCTCCTGTTTCTTCAGCTGGCCCGATTCATCGAAGCATCAGTTGTGCTTGGATAGATGCGGTATTCTCTGACGGGGTTGACAGAATTCTCGGTGTTTCGGGTGACTTGGGGGACAGCACGCTGCACGCCGATAAAAAAGCCATAGTGCCCCTTTCAGCGGGTTACCGTTGGGGTGAGCGATTAGAACCGTTATGCGGGGGTCGGTAACGAGCCGAATGGGCGCCACGGTGCGAAAGGGCGGAGTGTCTATATGAGAGAGAAGAGAGCCACGTATATTGTGGCAGAACCGCTGGCCTTCAAGAGTTCAGACTGGGCGGGCGAATATAAACACTTCGCACCTGACTGCCATCTTAGCTATGACCAGCTATCGCGCCCCGAGAGCGCCCTACAGAGGATCACGCAGCATTATCTGCACGGCTATCTGCAACTTTATCCCAGGCCGAGTATGATGCGATTGGATGGATCGAAATCGCAATTTCGTTCGTGCAGGTGTTCCAAGAAATACAAGCGATTGGCTGATAGGAAGGAGTGTAAACCAAATGAGGCGACACAGAGCCTATCAGTTACATGCCGATCTTGTACAGAGTAGGCAATTGAGCCACCACAGGATAGAGGTGGAGAAATATTTATCCACAACCATAGACTGTTTTAGGGGTAATTGAATAACAAAAAGCAGTTCGTCAGGTTAACTATTTAAAAGATAAGCAAATCCAAATGTGAATGTAGTCCCATGGTTTGTTTCACCCGTTCTGCCTTAGATATCTTCCTGATCGGCCTCCGATGGAGAGCTTTATTTTCCCGCTGTCAATCCCGTCACGGCATGCATATGAGCTTTTTATATTGATTATTCTTATCCGTTGATTCCCGCTGCTCGTAGCCATCCCGGCTGGACTGTTCTCAACATTTTCTTCTCATTGCTGATGTATGGATACTATCTTTTTGAGCTGGCCAAATTTTGGTAGCGGTGATACCCTAGAAAATTTTGATTTTTTGGATTTCATTTTTCTTAGGTCGTCAATATTTTGCCAGTGGCCTGTTAGTGCTTTGAATTTTTAAGCTCTACCTACGCAGTGTGTCGTCTTTGTCGATACAGAGTAATGATAGTACGCAAAAAACTACGGCGTTCTGGTTGCAGGCGCTGGTCATTTTTATTTCAGTACCGCATCCTCGGGTTGGAAGACTGTCGCTAGATTCACCCTTCATTTTATCATAAATGTCTTCAGTCAAATAGAGAATGAGACCGATTATTGGGACTGGGAGGACTCCACTCGCCTTCAGGCGCCCGGACACCGCTGCGAAACCCAACGTTAAGAATGACAATATCTGGCGACACATTCCCCACCGCACCTTCTCTCACGCATTCAAGTAGTTTTGAAGATCGATCTCGGAGCCGATGGATCGCCTGACGACCCAGACTTCGACAGTCACTGGGTGCATCTCGAACCTTATTATCGTTTTTCCGCCGGTCCGAGCTGAACGGACACCATGTATATGATATTCCTGCCACACCGCCGGGATCGCTACCATTCGGAGGACTCAAGCATACGATTTGAGTAGAAAACACCGAGATGCGGCCCTGCTATGACTCGATCGCTTTAAGTTCCTCCCCCATGGTTGAATTCTCGTATGAAATGAACCTGACTGCCGAATGGTTTGTCTTCTCTCGAGTCTGATACCTACTTGTATGGGATAATTTGTTCCGTCTTCGGACCACTTCGATCCGTCAGTTCCTTAGCTTTGGATCCCCGTCAGGGGAAAGAAGACCGCGGCAAGAGGGGAACTTTTGCCCATGGTGGGGCAGGATTCGGTACTTCGGCAGCTGCAACTGACAAGTTGGTTGCTCGGAAAATCGGTCGCATGGCGAATACATCGAGTCGCCGTTGGCAAGCGGCGTATGAAGAGCTGAAGGCTGATCCTTGCGGGGATTCGGTACTGGGCAGGCATGAGAGAGGAGTGCAGCCGCGTCGTATTTTGGCCTATGTTTAACCCTCATCTCCACGGGATCCCATCTGACAATGCATATTGGTGTCAGCCTGCTATCAGCACGCAAGCCTGCCAGCGTGATATGGAGGCGTTGGTGAAATGGAGCATAAACGACCATATAGGTGGCACATTTCCGATTGAATCATAAACGACTGACTAGACTGTGTAGAAACCTTTACCACTACACAGCTGATTTGTTTGGAATACTTGAAATTAGGGACCATGGAGCGTCAAAATGGACTGGGATAATGGAGATTGGGGCGGATTCCAGAACCCTGGAGTTTGCGCTCACAAGTCCGAGAACTGTCGGGAAGCATGCCATACACCGCCTGTCGTCATATACACCTACTATCTTCATGGTACGGTGTTCTTGAATAACCATGACTGGAACGGCAAGCCCGCGACCGTGTAAGACGTGCAGATCGTTGGTTGGGACCTTGAGAAACTCAAGAACTGAGAGCTAATACCCCAGAGAAGGCTAATAGGGTGAAACAAGCACAACGAAGTAGAACGGATGAGGAACGATGATAGACGCTTTTACATACATGATACCAATAACAAATGGATTAATATGGATACAGTCAAAGTCCCGAGCAACCCCGCGTTGGGGAAAGCTCATTGGCGATTTTATACTGTACGGGAGTAATTCCGTCGCCTTTTCATTCTCCGCCCAGCGGAACCAGAGATGAGCTTGGTCCCTCGCACCCCTATTCGGCAAGAAATACGCCCCCTGATAGTACACATGCTATAGAGGACGTCTCGATCTCGCCAGAATATGCTCCTACCATAAACATAATTCACTGCAGAATGGCTCCCCATCCGCTTGCACCACGCCGGAGGATCAACATCGCCCGGGTGATGTCGTCTCATGTCATCCCAACACCGTCATTGGATTCTCACGAGGATCTACTTGAACCTCCCAAGGTCCAACTGAGTGACTTTCGCGCTAGAGCACGCAGGTCGCTCCAAGCCTCCGACTACCCCGTCCTGCGCGCGCGCATGGCCTTGCAGGTAGGCCGGTACCGCTGTATTATTGGGTCCGGATAAGATCCCATCATACGCGAAGATGTAATTGACGGGAAAACCGAAAATGTGTGTCAGCACAAGGTTAACCAAATCACGCAGCCTCAATAACGTATGTCTGAGTCAACGTCAAGGAATTAATTTGAGAAAGACTAACTAACATGTCATAGAAAGCTGAATTTGACATCCTCGGAGCGATGCTTCGTTCAAAACAAGCTCTAGCGGAGTTCGACCTTCCAGAAGGCTTCGGTTGGTCATCGAGCCTTGGCCATACGGTGGATTGACTACTCCGATGAGAACCGACGATACTTCCAGGGTTTGTGTTTTGCTCGAGATGCAAGCAAGAAGAATGACGATGCCAATTTTCTACCCTACCCTCTGCCTGTTCCTGTAATGGATGCGCACACCCAGGAAATCATCAGTCCGTTGATCATCGTCCTGCCATGGAGGCAAGGAGAGAAGTCTACATTTACCAGACATTCAAGAGGGATATTATCGGGACAATCAAAGCACCATACGGTACCGGAACTGCTGCCCCCAAGGCACACGGAAGGATCTGAAGCCGTTGAACGTGGTACAACCTGAAGCGGGCCGTCATTCCAAGCGCAACGACCGCGTTGTCGAGTGGCAGAAGTGATCTGCGTTGGCTTCAACCTCGTGAAGGAGCCACTATTCAGATGTTTGGCGATGGACGTAGTAAGCATGTACCGGTTGGCTATCAGTGAGATGGTACGAAGGCTCTCATCAGTATTGATGAATCCAGCACTTCAATGCAGACCGTGCCAGCACATGCCGACCCCCGTCCATCTCCACTGGGTAAGCAGGCCTTCGACTTCGGGTGTGACGGCGGTGGTGGAAACATTATGCACGAATCTGTCTATTGGGTGCGATTAGCTTGGGTGTCACCGGCATCACTTCGACGCCTTTCGTGGACTAAAGGTCGGACGGCACGGCAAAGAAGCTACCGAATGCCATCATCTGCTTGCACGAGGAGGATAACGGAATCGGCTGGAACACCTATTCAGGCGCACCGGCGCCGTGGCATCCTGCAACCGGGAACTAATCGCAATTTATCATCACGCTGGCCAACCACGAGTACGCGTTTGCCTGTCTTCGACCTTTGCGGTATCACCGTGTGGAGTCGCGCGCAACTGGTACCTGAACGTGGTCAACATCGACGCTTTGGCAAGGTCAGCGAATACGGCAGGTCGTAGTGGAGGTGTTCTTTTGGCCCAGAATCAACATCATTATCTTCTGCGTTCGCATCGACCTGCCGCTGATGGTAGCGATAACTCCGTCGTCGTGGAGGAATCGCACCCCGTAAGCATGGTGAAGTCAACAATCCCAACGGCAACTTCTACCAGGTGACGAACGACACTTGTTCAGCGTGCAGGGATGGTTACAGACGCCGCTCCGGAGTTGAACAGACAATCAAAATCGGTCAAATTCCACCGCAATTAACCCGATCAGCGGCAAGCCAGTAGCGCCTGGCACATAAATTCATTCCTCTAGCGCAGCGTTACTGCTAGCAGACCCAACCGGATCCTGCGCCGTTGCCAGTTCGCGCAGCACCATGTCTGCGACTCCGGTACCGCGACTGGAGCTGTACGCCGGAGGACGGTACACACACCCGCAAAGTCAGCAGGAGATGAGCATCGGATGCGGTCGACGCATGAGATGAGATTCAGTGGACGACACACGACCGGTGGTGGAGTTTTCCGGAATCAACCCGCGCGTGGAAGATTGGCCTGTGATGTAAGTTCTCCATACATGCATGAATCTACTATGATTGTAACACAGACGTCTGAGACTTTCCAGCTATGATCCGACCTTCGGATTTCACGGCGGTAACTCCAGCGCTGATGTGCGCCGTCGACAAGAACGCCGCATCCAAGGTGGTTGGCGGAATGCTACCGTGCAATGCACATATGTAGAGGACCACCTTGGCGATTTTCTTCTTGTAATTTACAATCTTCACATGATTTACGATCGTACATTGAGATTTGCAAGATATTGTACATATCGAGAATGATAGATATCTACCACTCGAACAGTTCAGCCACGATAACGATAGTGACCACGATAAGATACCGAAGAAGAAAGATAAGGGGTTTCCGCATCCGACCTCGGATCTTCGGAATCTGAAACTCTCCGCCACGTGCTGTGAATTCAACCCTGCACTGATTAGGACCCTCGGAAATTGTGCTATCCAAAGAGCTTTGTCGCATTATGGAGGCAATATAATCCATTTTTATGGCCCCAGCGATCAACATGGCGGGATTATCGGACGCCAAAACGAGGTGGACACGCGTCGGAACTGCCCTCGGAGAGCAAAAAAAAACGACAACACACCAGGTTGCTCGGTGGCGTTAAATTCGATCCCCTGCATACCATGGCTGCAACCAGCAAACCACGAAATTCTGTAGTAACGAGTGCAAGCGAAGAAACTTAAAGGCGGAGGAGAACCAATCTGCGCACGATGTGCGCGCGCGACGATATAGACACCGCGTGTACACGCCGAATGCCGCGATCGAGTAACGCTGAACGGTAGGAGAGTCCGGCATGGACGATGGGTATTTAACAATCCCGGGCAGAATTTTGTTTATCATCATTGACGTCACGATAGACTCCTCGACCTGATTCCGAACAGTCGACTACCAATGGAAACGCTTTCCGGCATGAGATGCGCGCATGCCCGTGGCTACGCCGCCAGGTTGGAATCCTCATCTAGCGGGCATGGCAATTAGCGCCATATTCCCACCTGATCAACGAGACTCCACGCCGTCGAATAATGCTGGTCTACAGCGATCAAGTGAACCGGCTCCCCAGTCGCCGTCGTATGTTACCCCACGAGCGCAGAGTTCGGTCTCATGACGTCAAAGTCTGTCGACGATAGCGATGGGGATGACTTCGTCCACCGCGCGGCTAGTCCCGTCGCAGTCGGATGTTGTGAGGCGAAGTCGAGCGACCGCTGGGATGGCTGGGATTGACGGCGCTGCGACTGGTGACGGCGTAAGGAGAATAGCGTTGGGCTGATGTACCCGTGTGTTGATCTGGATAGTACGCGTATGTGGCGGAGTATCGGATTGATGGTCGGCTGGGACCAAGGCAGTCCCCTGTTGCCGCCGTGGAACAGGACTGGTTCTTTGCGCGAGATGTCAGCGCGTTGCTGATTATCCCGGCTACGGCGTTGTTATGTGGAATAACGCATGGACGCAGCGAACGCGCGGTACTTTTAATAAGATAGTGCGAGGATCGGTTTGCGGGCGGTTGAAGATCGCGAGGTTGATATGAAGGAACTACCATTTTAACTTTATTGGTTCGTTAGTCGGGTGGTTCGTGATGAATGTCTGCTAATGTGGTGCACGATATTCACTGTACCGTGATGACGAGGTTATCTCCCATGTCCAATGGGATGGTCAGGATCCATGCAGTCGGTCTACATTGGCGTCGGCGAGACATGGCTGAGAACAGGAGGAGTGTTCCCCTGAGACCGTGGCAGTGGAGATGGGCTAGCCGGTTATTCTGCGTGATTTACGTACCGGACAGAAAAGAAAATGGTCATTTGGTACTGTTACCGTTCATCCAGACCTCCGTGACACGCACTAATCTTCCTTTGGTTACACTTTCACGCCGTACCTGACCTGCATACGATTACATATTCGCGATTGAGCACGAAGATCTGGGACTTGTAGTGGGATGCTGTGTCGCTCTCGTTCCGCCACTCTCCCCTGTATCGATGTTCTATCTCGACTTCCCGCGTCCAGCAATGATTCACGATTCCGTGGGAGTTGCTCTTCGACTATCGGAGTGCGGGATCGGCTCTGCCCTCAAACAGACAACGTGATGATGCTACAGGTTCTTGCTTGCTCCTCCAGGCAAATCAACTTCTGTATCCCGTGTACCGACAGAACTTGTTATCTGGAGAGAGAGCATCGAGACCAATGTCTCACTTCGGTTGCTGTCAACGGCTAAGAGCACCGTCCATGTTGACTCATTTCTCACACGGATTTCGAGATCTATTTCAGCGTCCAGAGCCGTTCACCATTTTATTTCGGCCCTGGCACTATTCCCAGCTGTGTTACATGCTCCTTCACAATTTAAGTCGTGTCGTCCGAATTTACGCTATGTCAACATGGTTCGGAAATCAGTCGACCAGGGCCCGGACTCTGTGACGGTTACAGAAGATTAATATCCGGAGCTTGAAGCTGATCAGGCTGAATCTGCCACCGACGAGACACCATGCCATCAACGAAAACACTCTCAACAGTACTGAATTGCCCATAGTCAGCTTCATATTACCAACGGTGGCTACTCCTTCGGCCGCCAACCCTGCCCTGCAACCGAACTAGCAGCAGCAGAATCCTGCATCTGCGACATACACCACTCCGCAGGCGGCATCTCTCCTCTGAACTCTTCTCCAAACACCTACGATGCACCCACGATCATGCTCTTTGAAATGATAATAGCTGGTGAGGACCCTCACCTGTAGTTTCTTTTGAACTAGTGGTGGTTTATACTTTGATCCTCGAACGGACCGAAATCGCCACATGGAGACAGAAACCGAGGGGATTGCACCCGGCGGAGGAAGAAGTATTGACGAAGGTCAAGGACAAGCTTTCATTTTAGCGTAGCGTCACTGTTTCGAAGCCGTGGTTCATAGTGCACTGAATA